ATTCCATGGCAGATGGCGATAGTCAAGGTACAAGGTAGAATCCCTTATTAACTTTCAAAATCTATAAGTAATTTGCAAGGGTTTGGAGGAAAGTAACAATAATAATCCTTGCATTTGATATAGCATCTTATCGCATGTTCACAAAATATGCCGTAAAGTGAATTGACTGTATATTTTGTGGGCAAAACAAATTTTGGAGGGGAAAAGACAGGTAGATAGGACTGAATGGATGCAAGCGGAGACACGATGGGCTGAATGGGCTTCTTCTGTGCTGTAAATATTACAATTCTATAACTATTCTATAATTACTGACTTCCTGACCTAGGAATTTTTTTTTACTATTTATCCCCATCATACTCTTTCATTAAGAGCTTCTCAGCTCTGGATAGAAGAGCCCAGGCTTCTCATGTCTCTCTTCTTAACTGAGAGCCCCTGCATACCTACTACCATCCCCAAGTTGATCTATGCTGTACCTTTTTCTTAACTGCTTTTATATCCTTTATGTTATGGAGTGCCCTCAACTCCACACAATTCACTGCACTTTACACTTTACGCTTTATCATAATAATCCTTGCATTTGATATAGCGCTTTTCACGTCGGGAGGACGTCCCAAAGCACTTCACAGAACACACTGTAAAGTGAATTGACTGTATATTTGTGGGCGAACGCGGCAGCCAATTGCGCACAGCAATGTCCCACAGTCGTAGATTGAAAATGACCAATTTATTATTGTTTTGTTTTGGAGGGATTATTATTAGGCTCTGTGTGGAGTAAGGAAACTTTCCCAAGGTTTCGCCCTCTGCCTGGAATTGAACTCAGGTCTCTCACTTGCAAAGCGAGTGCTCTAACCACTGAGCTACAGGACTCCACTTATAGTAAATCCTGTGAAGGGGTTTGAGAAGTCCTTCCAACGTAGAAAAGTTGTACGGTTTTGATGTCAATTTATTGTTTAGCTTATTCAATCAATATGTATTTTCAAGGTCTTGTGATTTATCTGTGTGAAACTAATCATTACTGGGTTGCTACTACCACCCTGTGGCCAACCGTGTATGTACACAGATTTTTAAATCCAAAGATCAAACCATCCTTAACCATGTTTCCAACACACAGAAGTAGACAAGAAATGAAGAAATAAATTAACCCCAATGGAATAAAAGGAGCCACAGGGGTTAATTTACAGTATCTGAGGATGCAGATACTGGAGACGTTAATTGCTAATAGCTTGCATTTTGTTCCAACAACTGTGTAAATACCATTGATGAACACTTTGCTGAGCGAACGCATTCTGATGGTGTCAAAAGAAAAGAATCTCAGTATACATTAACATAGAAATTACAGCACAGAAGGATGTTGTTGTATTTGCCTACAAGAATGCAGTCACTATAGTTTGCAGTCACTACAGTTTGAAGAGCTTTGAGACTTTTCAAAGCAACCTGATAAGGCGCTGTATCAAATTCAAGGATAATTATTTTTAAGACCATTGAGTGTATGCTGGTGTTGGCTCCTTCATCATATGTTCTAGATACTGTCTGTGCGGGAAAAGTTTTTTTCCAACTTCTCCCTTAATTCTTCCAGTGACTATCCTGACTGTATGCTTTCGCTCACAAATATACAGTCAATTCACTTTACAGCATATTCTGTGACACACTTTGAGACGTCTAAAAGACGTGAAAACCGCTATATCAAATGCAAGGAGTGTTATTATTATTTATTATTAATTCAACCAACAGCAGAGGTTATATCTGACTATCTTCTCATGACATTTTTGAATTTTGAAGACCTCTATTAAAGTGGCCATTCCTTCAGCCACTAAGTAGGCTCCGAAACTCTGGAGTTCCCTCCACCTTGCTCCTTCCCGCCCCACCTTCAAATCCCGTCGAAACGCCTTCTGTTTTGATCGTGCTTACGGTCACCTCCCCCCAATCCCTCTCCCCCAGGCTCGTTGTCAGACTTCACCACTGTAAAGCGTTCCAGGATGCTATCCTGCGTGGATATTGGAAACAGATCCAGTTTTCAAACCTATCTTCATACCTTCAACAATGCAATGCTCCCTCAGCACCTCACTGTAGGGTCAGCACAGACCATGAGCACAAGATACCAATGTACAACTTGAATCCGTAACCATCCATCTCAGAGTCTAACCACTGACATCTGGCTTTGGAAGAGGGTTTTGAAGGCAGAGACATCAAAAGGATTTTGGAAGAAAGTAGCTGAGAACAGGGTTTAGTGGCTGAAACCTTAGTCATCGAGATCCTAAGCAAAAATAAAAAAAAGTAAGCTTCCACAGTAATACTTGCATTGGATATAGAGCCGAAAAGTCAAACTATTAATAATAAAAATATAATCCTAGCATTTGATATAGCACTTTTCATGTTTTCAAGACATCTCAAAGCGCTTCACAGAATAGACTGTAAAGTGAATTGACTGTATATTTGTGGACGAAACGCGGCAGCCAATTGCGCACAGCAGTGTCCCACAAACAGTCGTGGATTGAGTGACCAAATTGTTATTTTATTTATTTGTTTCCTTGAGGGATTATTATCAGGCATGTGCGTGAAGTAAGGAAACTTACCGCAAAGTTTCGCCCTGCCAGGAATCAAGCCCAGGTTTCTCGCTTGCGAAGCGAGTGCTCTAACCACTGAGCTACAGAACTCCACAGCCATCTCAACAACAGCAGGTTGGGGGAAATTTAAATTAACATAAAACTTTGGAAAAACTATTTGAAACTTGTATACAAGCTATTGTGTTAGGACATCAATCCTGTGCCTGATATTAAGCATTGTGCTGATATGTAGATATTTATTTGCGTGTTGCCATTAATCATTTGCAGTTACAGGGTCATGGCCCCAGGGGGTAGCATAGAAACTGGAAATAGGAGATTAAGGCTTGGCTCCTGCACTGAGCACAGATTAGTATTAGCTGCTAACTCTCTCTGAAGGCTGTTAAACCTTAGATTTAGGAAGCTTCTTGTGAATCTATCTGAGAATGAAACCATATAGATGTATTGAACATATGCCTGCAGTCAACTGGCTTATTTTTCGATGCCCAACTATAGGCATCTACTCACCATTTGTCTGATGTACAACAACAACAACAACTCTTGTGTAGCGCGCTTCACGTCGGAAAGACGTCCCAAAGCGCTAGACAGTCAGGCGGTTTTGAACCCAAGCTGGGAGTTGGGATCAGTAGGGGTGGAGGACGGTGGTGGGGGTGGTGTGGTGGTAGGAAGGTGGCCGAAGGCACTGTCGAAGAGCAAGGTCTTTAGGCGGGACTTGAAAGAGGCGAGAGGAGAGGTGAGGTGGAGGGATTGCGGGACAGAGTTCCAGAGTGTGGGGGCAGAGATACTGGATGCCCGACCACCAGTACCCACCTGTCTCTCAGAGGCTGCCCCAATAGACGGTCATCACTGGGTGGTTTTCTGCTGAGCCATGACGTATGACTTACATATTTAGTGATTGTTCCTTACCCACTCATCCCTCACAAGGAAACTAGCAAGGGATGGGTACAAGAGAGGCTCCAGGAAACAGAAATCACCTCTTCACTTGACTTCACTCCATGGTCAGAGAACTTTAGATTCTACCCAGTTTCATCTTCTGAAGGTCGGTAGTCCCCAGCAGCACAAGGAAGGTGTTGGAGGGGGAGTCAGACATGATGGGGTGCAGGTTTAAAATCCAGTCAATGGCAACCTCCTGTCAAGAAAACTTCTGAACTAGGTTTTAACTGGCGAGCATTTATAATAATAACAATAATAAGCCTTGTATTTGAGATGACTCCTTATTCCGTCTTTGAGTCATCTCAAAGCACTTCACAAAATATACTGTCAAGTAAATTGACTGTATATTTTGTAGGCAAAAAATGTATCTATAAGTAGAAGGAGTTGTCCTGTGTAGATCACCTGTGAGGCCACATTACTAATGTTGAGTGCTGATGGGACAGTGAATATTGGAGAGGATCCAAAGAAAGGAGTCCCTGAGGCCTGGATTTTATGAAGAGAGGTTCCCTGAGCTGTCTTTGTTCTCATTAAGCCCCAGCTCATAGTCGAGGCCTGTACACCAATGCAGTGCTGGGGGAGAGCTCCATTATTAAAAGCACTGTCATATGATGAGATGGCAAACCAAGGTCCTGTCTGCATGTTCATATAAATGTTGTGAAGCATAGTGACTGTGTATTTTATAGGCGAACGCAGCAACCAATTTGCACTCAATGTCCCACCAAGAGCCCTGAAGTAAAGATCCAATTTTATTTGGGAGCATTGTTGGTCAGGCCTCTCAGAGAAACTCCTTTTTCTTTTCGAATAGTGCCATGGAATCATTAACGTCCACCTGAATGGGTAGCCAGGAACTTGGTTTAGCATCTCATCTGAAGGCTGGATAAGAGTTTCAAATGTGTGGTTTATGTTTGTTTGGTATGGAATGTGCATTCTCTCTACCTGAAACACCCTGTCTATTTAATCTCAAGAGAGTTCAAGGTCAGGTAGGTGGACAACAGCAAAGGCTAGGAGATACCAGCAGCCTGGAGCCCAAATCCTTACCAATGTCCCAATGTCTGGGGTTGGAGGGCAGGGAGAGCAGGGGTTACATACAGACAGAAAGTCTTTATGAGGATATAAAGCGAAAGAATTAAAAATAAAATAAAATGCACTTTAAAATCTACGTTATAATATATATTTCAAAAATGTGGTCGCTCAATCCGCGACTATTTGTAGGACATACCACTGTGCAATTGGCCTCAGTATTTCACCTACAAAACTATACAGCCACTTCACTTTACAGTTTGTGCTGTGAAGCGCTGAGACGTCTCGAAGACGTGATATAAGGCGCCATCTCAAATGCAAGGATTATTATTATATATTACTGCAAGGTAAGTAGTTTGTAGGCCAGTTTATGTCAAGCGCCTTGGGACATCGTCCTGACGTGAAAGGCTCCGAGACACTATCTGAAGGACGTAGTGTAAATACAAGTTATTGGATGTGTATTGTAATTTGGCGAAAGGACAACGGTTTGCACAGATGCACCAGTATTATTTATTTTCATCATTATTCAAGTACATCAAACACCGTACTTATACACAGGACTAAGGCATTTTCTGTTAGGACGACACCAAATGCAATCCCCCAACACAGCCTCCCTGCGAGTCTCGCTGGATGGCAGTAACACATGGAGAGAGAGTTCTGCAGAAAAGGTCGGAGGGAGTGCGAGCAAAAGGACTTCATTACTTTGTTCCTCTCCGGAGCGCACCATGTAAACAGGAATAGGCTTCTTCACAATTGCATAATAAATGTAGTCACTAGTGTATATTTCATATTACATCAAAGTATTACATTAGCCGCACATACATCATTTCCTTTTCTAGTAATGACAAGACTTAGTTTTACCACAACTTCTTCATGACAGTGGTTAACTTTGGCTTAAAATAGTGGCTGCGGACAGCACAGTAACCAGCAGACTTTAAAAACTGGTAAATAAGACAGCAACAGCATCCTGCTCCCAAGCCACAGCAAGTTCTCTCCTCTAGAAGATAAACAGTGCCCTGGTCCAACACAGCTTGCAGCCCAAACATGACTGTCAAATGCAAAGTTTCATCACTTTTTCCTGCTCGCTGTGTTCAGGCACCCCCCAGGGATAACTCCGTGAGTTAAGCAAAGCTCTGTCAGGGAGGTTGTTCCGAGAGCTGTGGACCAATGCTGAAAGGTTTGGGCACAGCTGTACAGAGGAGACACCCAGTGCCTTTGGGTTTCCTACCTGCTCTACATCGTGTGAACCTCTTGGAAAACACTGGGTTTTTACAAAGAAACAGGGGCAGATGTTTTGCAGATTTTGACCCAGAAGGGATTCTGGACACAATTAAAGGCTAACACATCACTGCCTGTTGAATACAACTAATGCAACGGTCTCAATAAAGGCAAACGATACTATCATTTCAACCCCTTTCGAGGTATAAAGCGTTGTTTTGATGCGCCCTTCACAAGAGCAAAGAGGAGCAACCCATCCCAACTTCACTTTGGAGGAAAGACCAATTTGAAAAAATATTGAAACATGATCACTTCAGCCTTCAAAAGGGTTTACAGTGAAATGGCTCTTCAATGAGGCAACAATGGCAAATTCAAGCCCGCTTCACACAGACTGACAGCTACACTCTGTCTGAATCAATCAAACGCCCATGGCTTATGTGCACGTTCAAACTTTCACTGAAGTGTGTTCTGCCTTGCAGTTAGCAAAGCTCCTGCAAACTATAGAAATATCTGGGCAGTTCCAACCCGTTCTCTATCTACTTAAACCATTACTATCACAACACACGATGCACGGTCCTTTGTGGAACACTGAAATATTTTGGCCGTTGCCCAAATTCACTGGAAAATATTACATTAATTTGTTTGCAACAATCTTTTGCCTTTTTCAATTAAAACAAAAGCTATTTTTTCGCTCTGGTCCCGTTTGATGTTTGCTTAAACTGCTCAGCTGCATAAATGTCGACAATATTTATTTTCTTTTTAAAAAAAAACACAATTCTAGTAAACCGTCGTTAGTGTTAATTCCAACATCTCTCTGTTACTCAGTGGGTAGATTAAGAAGTTTAATTGTAGTTTAAAAGCATGCATTGTGCAATTAAAGTATAATCTACCCTGATTTACAGCCCTCTGGCTTCTCTAACGAATAGTGTAAGTTAATCAAAAGCAGCTCTGAATATTCAGCAGCCATTGCCTTATGTGCAGCCATACTGCACAGTGTTGTGTGTGTTTTGTGTTGGTTTGTGAGCCACAATGTTTGTCTTGCTTTGGCTGCTGGGAGGGAGGGGATAAAGTACAGCAGAGTGTGGCATTTGGTATCATGCATCCGAGACCCTTCGCTGTCTGCTCAGGGACCCTGCTCGGCCACTTTAAAGCGCTCTGAGACGCTACCTTGGGTGGAAGGCGCTATATCGGTGCAAGTTGTTATTGTTGTTTTGGCTTTTCCAAACAAAGAATAAGCCAGAAAATCCTCATAGCGAAGATCCCCAGCAGAGATCCCTACAGCCAGTTCACAAGATCTTGCCTTCGAGGGGTGGGGAGGGGGAAAAGAGTGGGAGAAAATTGGAACAGGTGGTTAGCAGGCAGTTACAGATCCAAATCAGATCACCATCTTAAGTAACAATGAGCCTCATTACACTGGACAGTGTTCAATCTTGGACATTCAAAGCAACTTACACACATTGCTAAACATGACGACTCCTAGCTCTACTTTAGTACTTTAGTACTATCCCTGGTATTGCTACAGCAAACTGCTCATGCAGAAATATTTAGACCGAGTAGATTCTGTAGAATTAAAGCATTTATTTAACCTTTTTTATTTTGTCCGCAAATAGTAACTCCATTGAGACCTCTATTGGTTATTACAAGGAATGGTAGATACATAGCACCATTGAAGATTGTAAATGTTTTAATATCTACACGAGTAATCTATTTGAAAAATGTGCCGGCTAGTTTATTTAGCAGCAGAGTTTGTACATGCGCTTTTTTGGGGTTAATATATTTTTATATTCCAAAAGAAAATAATAAAAAAATTGTTTGCAGGATTTGGGTTTGTCTTTTTTAATAAAACTTGTTAAAAATGAACGTTCTCTCGGCACTTTTTAATTAGCTTGCAAATAGGGTTTTCTGTCAAAAAAAAGCAAAACATACTATGTACATACATGTAAAAAGTGTTATAAATAGGTTTTAAACCATAGATACTATATACATCTTCAAATTAAACAGTAAATGTTTTCTTTCTCTTTGTTTTTAATTCTTCTCGAAGGCAATGTTGCGCGAGGCGTTGTAACCTAGGGACGAATCATTCACGTTTCCTTAGAATCACGTAGATTATCCCGCTGCATATGGCCAGGGGGAATGCCACCCATGCCAGAATGTAGGCATATCCATAGGTACCGGTGTGGTGCTGATTGTGGATTTCCCGGTACCACACCGTGTATATGGCTGCACCAGTCATCACGCAAAGCCCTGCAATAAAACACATTTGTTATTATTTTATTTTTATTCAATTTAAAACCCAGACATTTCTAATGAAACCAAATAACATTGAATCAACGACAATAAATTAAGATATAAACAGCGCCTGCCTTTCGCGTCTGCCTTTCCAAGGATTTGGACAGTCAGGGATTTGGACCCGAGCTGGGGGTTGGGATGAGGAGGGGTGGAGGGCAGGGATTGTAGGGAGTTGGACGGTGACCAAAGGTGAGGTCGAAAAGAAAGGGTCTTGAGATGGGCTTTGAAGATAAGGGAGAGAGTGAGGTGAAGGGACTCTGAAAGGCAGAGAAACTGGAGGCATGAGAAATGAAATTCACTGCATGTATATTTTTTAAAGTATATATAACTAAAAATAATGCATAAATTTTTAAAAAAAACATTAGTTGAGGTACTGTGTCCAACATCTCAACTCCATAATAATCTGATCAATCATCTCCACAAATGATAAAGTCACAAGAGGCAACCTGTTCTGTCATTTTACGAGATCATTGCAGATCTTTTAATCCTGTTTCTCCGCCTTTTCTTCATACTCCTTACATTCCAGCCTTGCATCTCAAATATCTGCCTCTCTTTAAACATTTCAATTTATTCGGCTTCTACAGCCTGTGGAGGCAGTGGGTCAATTAATTGTAAATTGTTGTTGCTTTCCACATTCTCACAACTCTCTGTTGTGAAACGATATTTTCAGATTTCTAAACATTTTAGCTCTAATTTCAATGTCCTCTACCGATGGAAGAGGCATCCACTATCCAGCTTGTCAATACCCGTCAGTTCAAACCCCTCATACACCCTCGTCTCTTCGACTTGCTACCCACAATAGAACCTGGTTATAATGTGTATTTTCTTACAATAATACTTGTCTCAAAGATGTGATAAGGCGTTGTATTAAATACATCTCAAAGTGCTTCACAGAATGTACTGTAAAACAATTATTATCCTCAGAAAAGCAATCTGCTAATCGACTAACAACTGGGTTCCTACTTACTGTTGGGCAAACAGAAGCGTGTGGAGTAAGGAAACTTGCCCAATGCTTCGCCCCACCCGACCGGGAATCAAACTCAGGTCTCGCTTGTGAGGCGAGTGCTCTAACCACTAAGCTACAGGTCTCCACAATGTGAATGCTGTGGGACCCCCTTTCACTGCATGCGTTTCCCATGTGCCAGCGGGTCTCATGCTAAAAATAGCTGATCTCACTTCCTGCGCACTAGGCACATAACCAAGAAGTTGACTATTTTTTTTGTAAGTGTAGAATTCGGTTATAACATAGGTTGCAATTTTTTGGACCCCTCCTCTCCATCCATCATATTACTTACATTTGAAAAAGCACCTTTCACATTGAGAGGGCGTCTTAAAACACTTTACAAGATATACTGTAAAGTATAGTGACTGTTTTCCAGGCGAACACTATAATGGGGGAGGATCTACTGCACATAGAATATTAGAGCGCAAAAGGAATTGCTATCCCCAGAAAAGTGATCCATCAATCGACTAACAACTGGGTTCCAGAGACCCATCGTGCCTGTGCCAGCTATTTGGAAGAGCTACCCAATCAGTCCCACTCCCCCGCTCTTTCCCCATAATCCTTGTAAATTTTTCCTCTTCAAGTAATAATAATCCTTGCATTTGATATAGCGCTTTTCACGTCTTCTCGATATCTCAAACGCTTTACAGAATAGACTGTAAAGTGAATTTATAGTCTATTTGTGGGCGAAAACTCAGCAGCCAATTGTGCACAGCAGTGTCCCACAAACAGTCGTAGATTGAAAATGACCAATTTATTATTGTTTTGTTTTTTTGGAGGGATTATTATTAGGCTCTGTGTGGAGTAAGGAAACTTGCCCAAGGTTTCGCCCTCTGCCTGGAATTGAACCCAGGTCTCTCGCTTGCAAAGCGAGTGCTCTAACCACTGAGCTACAGGACTCCACGAGTACCTATCCAATTCCCTTAATCTTCAAATGAAATACAGCAAGCAAACTACTTGTTGCTCTCAATACCATGCTGTGGCCTGATGTAATCCCGATAGTCATGTTTCCTAAAAATTACGTAGATTATTCCACAGCACATGATGTGTGCTGGAATAGACGTAACTGAACACAACTGAATCTCGTTCCATACAGAAGGGAATGGTTTAGGAATGCAATTTTAACCCACAAGAAGCTTTATTTGCCCTGCGCCTAGGGTGTGAGCAGTGTAGAAGTGTTTCCAGCTGCCCTTCATGCCCGATGCAATTCAGACAGAAGATTCACGTTCGCACACAGCCGTATTCAGGTGCCCACAAGCACGCAAAGCTTCTGTGAAAACCTTCTGTCTCACGCAACTGGGAGAACAGGGCAGATTTTACTATGATTCACAAGACTTAGGCACAGAAACAAATCAAAGGCAACACAAATATTTAGAAATCACTGCAGAAGCTGTGAGCTAACCAAGAAATTCTCTCTCAACTTCAAATCAAATGTAGCCTTCGAATCTCACTGTGAACCAAGAGAATGGCAATGCTGAGACAGAGAGAGAGGAACTGCCATCTACTGGTCATTTAGTACATTACACCAAACACCCAAAATAGCATTCATCAATTTTGTAGGCGATAAAATGCACAGATGATGATCACTGTAAACTTTACTCCATTAAAGAAAGACAGGAAGGATGGCAAGTGGGATTGGGGAGGATGATAGAGCATAGACCAAGGTCTGTGACAGAATGACCTTGATGCTCTTTATGGCTTTCTCCTGTTCCTAAATTCCTATGTTTATTCCGTAGACGTAGCAAAAACAACGGCTACTTTTAGTGCCAAGGTCAGATAGATCCCAACACAGCTCCGAAATATGATTCTATAGCACACCTTGCACTTCTGATCCAAAGCACATAAATGTACATTGAGTTGGCATAATAATAATCCTTGCATTTGATACTGCACCCTATCACGTCGTTGTGACGTCTCAAAGCGCTTGACAGGATATACCACAAAGTGGAGTGACTGTGTGTTTTGTGGGGGAAACATGGCAGCCAACCGCGCATAGCAGCATCTCACAAACTGTCATGGACTGAGCGACCGATTTTATTTGGGGGATTGTCAGCCAGGACACCGGGAGAGAGAGAGAAACTCCCTCCTCTTTTCAAATAGTCAGCAGAATGTCAATGTCCTTAACTTGCTTTTCTTTTGATTTCAGACCCTCAAAGCCCGTCAAGCCATTTGGAGCTTCACCCACTGAAGGCAGCTCTGGATATAGTGAATTACTCAATTACTTAAGTCAGATGCCACAAGCCCTCAGCACAGGCTGAACTACACCCTCCCCTGTTAAAAATAGCCTGACTGTTTTTATCTCACTTGCCAAAACAAGCTTCACTGCTCAAATGGTTTAATATGTTCTTTGCATTGGAGCGCACTCACTCAAGTCTAGCAATAAAACTCAAGGTTACAAATCGCATTTAGGAATTTAGCCAAGGCAGTGTGTTCATGTTATGGTTTGTTTGCCCGGCTCAGGCTCAGCGCAGACTGTCATGTCTTTCATTGTTTGTTGTGCTGCAGGTTTTGGCAGCTCCACTGGAGGAACACCCTGTGTGCAGTATAACCCTGTGAATCCACTGGCGCTCTGGCCGGATCAGCTATCCCAGCTCGGACCTCTGTGTACAGAATCTGCCACCATCTCTAGTCCCTATGACCCCAGGTGCTCCATCTCTGAGACCAAGAGGAAGATAAGGTATTCTAAAGTACTATGATTGTGAACTAAAGCAAGTAAGATGACATTAGTCTACCACACAACCTGGGAACAAGTTTCAGCGCCTTTGGATGTCCTCCCGCTATACAAATGTAATTTGATTTGTTGGTAGTTACTGAACATGGCCGTTGGATTTAAAGGCAACGAACAATTACAATTTGACCAGGAAATCTACACCCTAACTCCCCTGTGCCTTGTGCCCCCACTCCCACATCAGGTTTAGATAACTTTCTCTAAGTTATGCTAATATTTATCATTTTCTTCACATAGTTCCTGCGTGGATCTGAATGATGTAAATCTCTTTTGTTTAAAAATATGAGATGACGCAGTTAAGACATTAACTTCTTTAATTATGCCCAAGAATAATTAAGGCCCTGAAACCATGAACCCAGCCCTCAGCCACCCCTGACATCATTAAAATGGTTTCTCCCACAGGCTGCTCACAGCTAAATCAGACACTACCTTTTCTTTCTCAATGAGCGACTGAGATTTTTATTCCCAAACATACGACAATGGAAATAGATTGGGCATTGCCAGAGCTGAATGAANCCCCCCCACACCGAAATTCTGGAACGCTCGTCCTCAATCCGTCCACCTTGCCCCCTCCCTCCCGACTTTCAAATCCCGCATAAAGACCTTCTTTTTCGATCGGGCTTACGGTCACCTCCCCCCTCCCTCTCCCCCGGGATTGGGGGTCAAACTCTGCTATTGTGAAGCACTCCAGGATGCTACCCCACGTGAAGGGCACTGCATACAATCAAATTGTTGTTGTTATTGATTCAACTTTGACTCAAAACTTAAAAAGTTTACTTACTCCCTTGGGACAGCCCGAACCTGGCTTTGCTCACTTACAAAAAAAACAATACAAGTTAATCATCGGAGAAATTAACCAGAGATCTGCGTTCAATTCCCTGGCAGGGTGAAATATTGGGCAAATTTGTTTACACCACACACATGCCTCTGTTTACCTAGCAGTAAGTAGGAACCCGGTTGTTAGTCAATTGGTAAATCACTTTTCCAGGGGTAATAATTCCTTCAAACAAAAAAAATTGGTCACTCAATCCACGACTGCTTGTGGGACACTGCTGTGTGCAATTGGTTGCTGCGTTTCACCCACAAATATACAGTCATTTCACTTTACAGTATATTCTTTGAGCGCTTTGAGACAACTCGAAGACATGATAAGGCGCTATATAAAATGCAATTATTATTATGTTTGTTTACAATTAGCAGTAATCCTTAATTCTCATTTGACTACAATTTATACAGTCACTACACTTTACGATACATCATGAGAAGTGCTTCCCCCAACATGAAATGTAAGGATTTTGATTATTATTTCTATTACTGGGGTTTATTAAGGAACAGAACAAATGCCACAACTTTCACCCTCATTTACCCAACAATGGAAGGTACTTGACTCACTCCTTACATTGGGTAGAGAATTTTATCTTCCTGTCAGCTTCCTGTTGACCACTGTTTGTGTGACACCCATTCCTTTCACTTAGTAATGTCAGTGTTTCCAGGTACAGACAATAAAGGACATTGCAGTTCCCAAACCCACCCCTCAAACCTTCAATGGACAATACAATATCCTCAAACCCTGTGAACAACCCTGAACCTGCACGCTCTAACCCTGTACAGAAGTTACAAACATAAGTACAGACACACACACACATATATATATATACACACACACACACACACACACACACACATAGACACACACACATTTCTAGGCGCACCCACATTGGAGATTTGCTGAATGCATGGGTTCAGTCAATGTACTCCATTCACATGCGTTCAATCTCCAGCAGGTGGAATCCAACCATCCATAAGGTTTGCTGTCTTTCCAGTGAGGTGTGGCTTATAAAAGGTGAGGCTTATAAAAGACCACCAGGTCAAGAGTGGCTAATTGCAATGAGTGAGCTTCAGTCCATAAGTAATGTATTTCTGATTCTCTCACATCTATTTATTTGAAAGTCTATCTGTGTCCTTGCTAGATGGCATGTGTATTCATTTCTATCCAGCTCCTTGGGACGTCCTCCCAAAACAAATGTGATTTTGTATTGTATTTTCTCCTTCTGGTCATCACTCACCTACCCGACACTAAAATACACACCAACACTGTTATACTGCTGTCAGACTGGGTCCACAGTCTCAGGCCCTGCCTGATAAGCACACACTAAAACACGGCTGACTTCTGTGTTATCAGCTTGGCGCTGATGCCACGTCCTGCGTGCTGCACACACAAAACAAGCGCAGGAAGCTTTGAGAAGTGACATCAACAGTACTCCCTGTGCACAGGAAGCAATGTCAGCACATAGAGAGTGACGCAACATCCAGGAAGTGATATCGGCAGTGATCTAACATTCCAGAAGTTGGCCATTTTTGTAGCCCAGGAGAAGCCAACTGATCCACACAGTGAAGCCAATCACAGAGCACCTGACTTAGAAGGGATGGCTTTATAACGCAAGGCAGTGTGCAAGGCAGTGATAAACAAAATATCTCTCACACTATCTCAACTATTGGAACAAATGCTGGTGTGGAATTAAACCCCGTTTGTTATTTATACAGTCAATTCACTTTACAGTGTGTTCTGTGAAGCGCTTTGGGATGTCCTCCCGACGTGAAAAGCACTATATCAAATGCAAGGATTATTATTATTATTATTATTTCAAGATTTTGTTTTACAATTCCAACCATGAATTTCACTGGACACACTCCAGTAATGAAAGGAGCTCTTCAACCCTGGTTTGACATTCCATCTAATCTTAACCTGTGACACAGTTTTGTCTTAAAATTTAAGATTGAATTGTGGAAAGTCTTAAGAAATTCACTCTTATATTCTTTAAGAACCGTGAAAATCACTGCTCCTAAATTAAGAAGGGATTGAAGAACTTCCCACAATTCTGAGCGAACTTATTGGGACGGCAGTCTTCAGGCAAAGACCATAAGAAATTTCGGGGACTCTGTGTTTTGTTTAAAAGGAAACTCCTAAACAATTTAGAAGGTCTTCCAATGATCGCCATTTTTCTCCAATGAACAACTGAAGATCACAAGTGAAATGGAATCCTGTAGCTCAGTGGTTAGAGCACTTGCCTCGCAAGTGAGTTCAATACCCGGCTGGGCGAAATGTTGGGCAAGTTTCCTTACTCCATATGACTCTGTTTACCTAGCAGTAAGTAGGAACCCATTTTTTAAGTGGATTGGTGGATCGCTTTTCTGGGGTTAATAATTCCTTCAAAAAACTAATAATAAATTGGTCACTTCAATCTCCGACTGTTTGTGGGACACTGCTGTGCGCAATTGGCTGCCACATTTCATCCACAATATACAGTCAATTCCATTTACAGTATATTCTGTGAAGCTCTTTGAGACGTCTCGAAGATGTTATAAGGCGCTGTATCAAAATGCATGTATTATTATTAACATCACACGTGTATGGGACAAAAACATTAAAGTCAAGTCAATTGGACCAGGAGTAGACAAAGCATGGAGCGTGGCCAATATTTACAACAGGCAAGGGCTGAAAGAACTTTTAAAAAGCTAAAGCACTTTTCCTTTCCTGAGGTCTAGTACTCAGATATCAGCCTATTGCGTAATCCTGAAGTCTTCAATCTAAATTGGCTCTGGATCAGCCCTTGGGAATCCTTTCCCACTCAGCTTTTATTCGAAATGTTATCTCTGATGATTCACCGGTATGGTTGACTGACTGACTATACCGGTGCTAAACCTGCTGATATAGAAGCCCTTGAACAACAACAAAATCACATTTGTATGGCGCCTTTCACGTCAGGAGAAAATCCCAAGGGGTTGGACAATCAGTATTTTGGACCCGAGTTGGGGGCCGGATTGGGAAGGGTGGGGACCATGGGGGGAAAAAAAGGAGGGTGACATAAGGCACAGTCGAAGAGGAGGGTCTTGAGATGGGTCTTGAAGGAGGCAAGGGAGAGGCGAGGCGGAGGGATTATGGGATGGAGTTCCAGAGGAACAGAGTGGTGGATGGCACACCACTGAGTGGAGAATTTAAGAATAGTTCCAATTATTGCAGATGGCGACACGGAGATCTAGCCTTCCAGCATCTTCACACACTCCAATAATCTTCATACGCTTCAGCAATTAAGGGCACTGAATGATTCATAGTGCAACAGAATTAGGAAGCAGGCAATTGAATTATTTATGTATTTTACACAGGGAGACTAGACCTACCTGCCAGCAGCTGGAAGGTGCCGGTGATGTAGAAGCGACCGCCCTTCTGCAGTGTGAAGAGCTGACAGAAGAAGAGAATCACCGACAGGAAGCTGAAGATGATGGACAGGATCATCATAGCCTGGACGGCCTGCAGCCACTCTGGAGAACACAGCAAAAACAGAATGTACAGTCAGGAATCCTTTCAATCACAAATTCAATCACAGATTCTGTAACAGTCAGCAACAGAGACCAGAAGTAACTCAACCACAGATGGACAACTGTGAGCGAGACTTGGGTCAGATGCCCTGAAGTGTGACATTCAGGAGGATGTAGCTGTGGTCAGATCTAAGCTGGGTTGTTGCAGAGGAAGACTACACAGAGTTGCTTCACTGAGTCCCAGCTATGTTGGGTTACAGTCTACTTGTCACATTATTGTCACCCTCAATCACTCGTGGGGTGAATGAATGAAGAAAGGCCTGTGAGACTAAGTATCTCCTTGGGTAGTGAAGCCCATCGGTTTTGTTTACAGATACCTTTGAGAAATGTGTTGCAATACAATACATCTCCAGATCTTAATTGAGAATCCCAATCAAACAGTCTCTTTCTGACTTGGCACATTCAGAATTATAAAGCTTTACGCTGCAGTTAGGCAGAATATTAATGAACTAAATGGAACGGACATCATTTGGCCCATGTCATCTGTCATCCCCATGTGAGCACAGCTGGATCCAATCCCGGTGAAGATGAGTCCAAAGTTAAGCATTACAAACAGACCTCATGTTATTGTCATTAAATAAAGTATAGAACTCATTACATTTTGGGCTTTAAAGCCTCAAGTCTTCCCCAAAAATAAAATAATCATGCCTCTTGGCTTTGGCCATAAGTCTTAAGAATTTCCCAGAATTTTTGCACAATCTCAAAATTTTAATTTCAGTCTTAATATTGGAAGCCGTTTCTTTTTGGGAACGGAGGGAAACTCACTTCCAAATTAAGGGTAAATTTAAGACTTTTCCAAAATACTCCATAGTTTTAAAGGACAAGACGTGGCAGCTTGACAGTGAATCGCCATAAGGCTTCAAGTCATGCAACCTCACAGAATGGTTGATTAATTGCAGAGCAGAATTTTGGGAGCCACCAATGAATGTATTGGCTTGTTATATGCGTGTTCTAATCTTGGTTCATCATCTCATCAACTTGATGGCCAATGGCTTGTTTGGCTGGACAAACAGAAAGAAGCCCAATGAAGCGTAACTTTGCAAAACTGATCATCGCGGTTTCCAAATGCCATGAAAACGCACAAAAAAAAGCTGAGACACTTTGTTCTCTGGTCTTTCTCCACAATTGATCATTTCCAGAAATCACAGAATTTCACAAATACCACAAATTACACACGAGGATGAACCACAGAATCTATGACACAATCAGAGGTCATTTTATATTATTGTCAGTGTTTACTTTTCCAATTAAGACATCTCTCTTAATCTCTATTCTCAGCTCCGTCCCCACACCCTCTCACGCATTTCCTCTCCATATATTTATCTCATTTCCTGCTATATGATTCTGCTCAATATTCCCTCTGCATTCTGATAACCTTCTGGGAGGAGAGAAAAAAATATCATCTGCTTGGTTCTAGGAACTCCTAATCTTGACCTCACATTCTTTGCAACAATTGTCAGACGAGCTACACCTCAATGCCCTTCAGCCTCACACAGAGCCACTGGCTCAGCTTTAAGCAAGGCGTAGCCTCAATCCTTCAAAATAACTGACTCAAATTGATTGAAAGGTGAGCCCGTTGGTTTTGGTCTGTCACTATGTCCTTAAGGAGAAGCTGCTGTGAGCATCGCAGCCATCCAGGACACTGCTAGAATTTACCGTCATTGAAAATCAATCTTTTCTTCAATTTCACAGTCTACTCATAACTAATAATGCTCGCATTTAAGGACTGTGCTTTCAAGATAACTCCAATATGAGCGGAAAGGGAAAACTGCAGGTGCTTGAGACCTCCACCCAGACAACCAGTTGAAAAGAGGGTATTTCTTGGTGGTGTGCCAGAGTTTCCTGTCCGATCATCAGCCAACCAGGTGAGGAAGCATCTTATCACATTGGTTGGGGAGTAAACTGGCTGACAGAAAGCTCCTGGTCATTGTAATCAGAGCTGTGCAGAAATGAAGCAGCTCTGTACTGTTCATAGAACAAATCTGAGCTGGGGTTTTCTCCACATAAACTATTCAATCTAACCACACTCTCCTGCTCACCCCTCACACCCTCTTGATATTCTTTTCACAAGGATCTGCGCAATTGACAGATGCATGGCGCTTTGACCCCAAACTATGGCTTGTGGCAAGTCATCAGAACCATTTTAGGGAGAATGTGTTCAGCAGCCGATCTTTAGGTAGCTTTGGCTTCAATGTAGGGAATTTAAGAATATGTTTACTCCCTGAAATTAAGCATGGTCCATTGCTATGATCTTGTGCCCTGCATCAGAGCAAAACTCGTGTTATTATTATTGTTCATTGCTACTTTCTCCTTTGCGCTCCACTTGTTTCTGTTCCATTTTAAACTATTTACATTTTCATTTACTTTATTTATACTGAAATCACAAACTAACTTTAAATTTTTGAACACCATATATTTTTTTTTTTAAACCAACCTGTTGTCCATTTGGTCCTCTAAGAGGAACAGCATTTCCTATTTCATCTGCTAAGAATTAGAAATATGGAAACAGGAGGAGGCCATTCAGCCCCTCGACCCTGTTCCACCATTCTATACGATCATAGCTGATCTGTACCTCAAGTCCAATTACCTGCCCGTATCCCTTAATACTCTGACCTATCCATCTCAGCTGTCAAAATGTGAACGTATTCAGTTAAAATCACCACCTAACCTTGTGTACAAATCCTACCTTTTCTTTTAAAAAAATCTGAGCTTCCTCAGGCTGATTTTATTGCAGCTATAAGATTTTCTCTTGAATATTCAGTCATAGATAAGAATGCTTTGTAACAGGAACTCTCAAAGTGAAAGACTTATTTTATAAATTAATTATATTATTATATTAAAGCCCGTTATAACAAATACACTGTTAATAAATAAACAATTTATTAAATTTGATAGATTTGCTGTCAGTAGCAATAATAAATTATGTTTCAGTCATGTGCAACTAAGGAGGGGATGGTGAAAGAAACAACTTAAGCCAACAAAATTAAGAACATTTTTTTTAAATTGCCATCAATTTTAAGCGGAGGCTGAATAATTCTAAATAAGCGAGCTGATTCTTAATGTCTATCAATTCTCGTTTAGTATTGTTTGATTTGTGTTCCTGGAAAAAGTCTAACATCCCCGCTCCCCGTGCCAGATCCCCAGCAATTCAACCGTTAACATTTAAAACTCTCTGCAAAGTGTGTCCTAATTTAGATCAGACCAGCCCCCCCCCCCCACCCCCGCCCGCCGCCCCAGGGCGCTCGCTGTAATCAGCAACATCTTTTTAAATACACAATTTATGAAATTGCGGTGACAAAATCTAACCGGTTACAAAGCATTAGTTCGATCTGAGTGAACTTGAATGAATGTGGAATTTCTGCTGACTCTGCGCAAATGGATGGGATTCAGCCAGTGATTGAGCCCCGCACAGTCCCTGGCTGCAAACTGCTGAGTCGACTGCAACAACACGTTGCCAAGATGTGAGTGAGAGGTTGGGATCAATTTGACTTGTCCCACTCGATGCAGCTGTGCCCATCGGCCACTAGGCGCCACCAGACCTCGCCAGTAGCCAGAACCGCACCCACTTTCAGAGACTTTTAACAGTGTCCAGGTTCCAGCAGCGAGTGCTACGTTACTGATTGATTAGCCTGATAATGTCACATCTGTACACTACCCAGTGCATGTACTTGTAAACGGTATAATCAGGCACTAGTGTAAGCAAAATCCCAGAATTCTGGGTTGCTTGAGCTGATGAAACCTACAAGTTTGATACAAATTTCTTTACTAATTTGTATTAGTAAATAGCAATCGATCGTAGAATTTGTGTCGGTCCTTACTGCACCGCAGGGTCACAAATTTAAATAGCCCACACACTATTTAAAGGCAACGGCAACTCTTTCTACACACATATTTTGTTCATTTCAAATTCATAGCCCCTTTGCACTTGTAACTTTGTGAAGTTGTAAGCAACATATCCCTGGAGGAGCAGGAGGAAGAGTGGGGGGTGAGGGGGGTAGGAGGAGGGAAGAAATGTAAAACTCACCATTTGTGGAATAAGTGACGCAATTCCAGGAATCCATCCATGTGCAGTTCTGCCAGAGATCAATAGTGGTGTTCTCTCCAAAATACCACCAGGTCTGGCACAGAAACACAACACACAGCACCAGGGTTTTACTAAACAAAACTCACCAACTAAAACCTGACTCAAACGACAAGCATGAAATGATCATTTAAATAATCGTAGCTTTATATATATATATATTTTTAAAAATCCCTTAAGTTAATATTTTAAAAAGGGGTTTACTTTTCGCTCTATTCTCCGCTCTACTACACCCAAATAGCTTTCACAAAACAAAATAATCTAAAACCTCATCGATGCCGCACACCTCAGTCCTAAATGTGTCCGCTATCAATCCACTGTCAAGTTATACTTCAACTGTAAACTGATAACCAGCAGTGAAGCTTCTAAGCAAAATCGATGCATTTTTTTTAAAAACAATTACGAATTCTTTCGCAACCTGCACTCTTGTTCACGCAATATAGCAAACATCAGCGGAGACATATAGGGGGGAAAATAAATACTTGCCTTTCCCCCCCCCCCCCCCCCGCCCCTCCCAAGGTAATATCACTTGCCTTGCGATGCTTTGACAGTGTGCAAACTGCCTGTTGTACTTACATTGACGATAGTGGAGACGAGGAGAAGCACCAGAACTGCGATGTGCAGCAAAATGATCCCAGCCAACAACAGAATCATTTTGGAGATATTTCAGGTGGATAACTGGAAGCTTGAGGGAGAGAAAGAGAGAGGAAAAACAAACACAAGAGAGAGAGAGAGAGAGAGGGGAGTAAGTTTGTCCTGCAATAGCACTGTTGGGCAAGAGATTGCGACTATGTATGGTTCGTTCAGCACTGCAGTGAGTGAATGATCTTATTGAAACCCCAGGGCGTGTCTGCAATGTAATGCTGACAGCTCCAGTGGTGACCAGCAGGAGGCGCTGCTGCACTCCCCACACCACAGCATTGTTACAGGCTCAGACTGGCAGCAGAGTTGCTTTGGATGCACTTTTATTATTATTACTATTATATTTCTGTGTCATTTTTTGAAACAAATAATGCATTTTTCGCCGGGTAAGGCCTTTCTGACACCTTTCTGATTGTAAAAAAAAATTGCATCTCTTTTTCTCTCTCCCCAACCCACCCCCCAACACACACACACACCCACACACAACACCACACACAACACCCAGCCCCAATGTGCAGAGCCACAAGTAAACATTTGTGCTCAACCTTTTTTGCTCTCACCTCAAACTACTGGGAAGAAACCCGTTACTGTTATGATGGTTATATTCTAATAACTTTCTGTTGCACACAGCCAGGATGCCACAAGCAAAATAGAGTTGTGCTCAGATCACACCCCACATTCCCTAAACATCTCCCCCTCACACCCACCCCATCCGCATTCCAATCATTCACATTGCAAATGTACCATCTCCAAACTATTGATTAATTTATTCCAACTTTTTTAAAAAAAAAATCCATAATAACGTCTTTTTAATCATTTCCCGTTAAATCTGAGTTTTTTTAAAAAAAAAATTAAAAATTGCACCCCTTATTAATCGCAGATCTCCTGGTGTCTGTCTGCCTTAACTCGGGACAGACTGTGGATTAATATGGATTTGTGTTGTGAAATGGTGAAAGTGACTGAGAGATGTTAACACTAACCCCAGGATCAGGGTCTCAGCCCATCACAGCCCCGTTATTCACAAAGACGCCAATGTCCTGACAGCCCAACATTTGATGTGAATTAAATCAGACTGCAACATCTAACCTTAACTACACACACAGTCATCTAACCTTAACTACACACACACAGTCATCTAACCTTAACTACACTCACACAGTGATCTAACCTTAACTACACACACACAGTCATCTAACCTTAACTACACACACAGTCATCTAACCTTAACTACACACACACAGTGATCTAACCTTAACTACACACACAGTGATCTAACCTTAACTACACACTCAGTGATCTAACCTTAACTAACACACACACAGTGATCTAACCTTAACTACACACACACATTGATCTAACCTTAACTACACACACACAGTGATCTAACCTTAACCAACTACACACACAGTCATCTAACCTTAACTACACTCACACAGTGATCTAACCTTAACTACACACACACAGTCATCTAACCTTAACTACACACACACAGTCATCTAACCTTAACTACACTCACACAGTGATCTAACCTTAACTACACACAGTCATCTAACCTTAACTACACACAGTCATCTAACCTTAACTACACACACACAGTGATCTAACCTTAACTACACACACACAGTGATCTAACCTTAACTACACACACACAGTGATCTAACCTTAACCAATTGCACACACATCTACAGCTCCGAATTCCCCTGTGGTTTGTGTATTTTTCATTTGAAAAGAAACATAACGTGTGGAGTAAAACTTTAAATTATGTTATAATTAAATGAAATTATTGAAGTCTGTTCAGAATCTCCAAAAAGTGGAGACAAAAAAAAACCTTTCCAAACTTTCCAGCTCAGCGCCCTGACGTGGTGGAGTTTTACACACAGTAACACAGGGACTAAAGCTCGTTCAGAAATTGCTTTTAATTTGGATTTCTTTTTTATTAAAAAAAGTTTTAAAAAACTAAATAGGGGACGAGTTTAGCTCCTGATCTGATCTGTGGGGCTGTTGGAAACGCCTATTGAAAGCCTCGAAATTCAGATTAAAACTTTCGCACATTCCTTGTTTTTTTTTAAAAAAATAGGTAATATAACTTTCTTACTTTCTGAAGTCTTAAAAGTTTTTCTTGGGAGACTCGAAAGCAGAAGCAAACATCAAGCGCAAAATGCAACAAATCCGACCCTGAAGACAAGACACTTCGAAGATTTCTAATTAAAATTTTTTTTAGAAAAAAATACACTTTCAGCTGAAAAAAAAAGTAACAGAATACGTTTCCAACTTTATATCCCTGGATTTGGACGTGGGGCAGAGTTATTCCTGGATGCTTAGGTTAACAGGAGGGAAAAGTACTTACTCAGGGATAGTTTTCCAATGCAATCTATCCTTGGGACAGTCAGCAACACACCAAACTGCTGTCAAACTAACCTGAAGTTATAAAGTGGTTCACTTTAGTGGTGACCAACGCCCCAACCATCACACGCAGCGTCGAGGGGTGTGTGTGTGTCAGCTCATTGGTTCCAGCCCAGGCATCCCCACAAGAAGCTTTTGCCTCTCTCTCTCTCTCTCTCTCTTTCTCTCTCTCTCTCAGTGGGATCTTTCTTCTGAAAGTTAAGAAGCTGAAATGATTGGAGATGTCAACAAAGCGCCGAAAAAGCTCGGGCCCTCCGCCGCACTAAACCCGTCTCCGTGACGTCCCGTAGCGCAGCGGGTTACTCGCGAGCGAGCGAGAGGATCCTGGTTTGATTCCCAGGCGGGGTGAAACCTTAGGCAGGTTTCCTTACTCCTCACGCCTCTGGTTACCTAGCAGTAAGTAGGAACCTGGTTGTTAGTTGATTGGCGGATTGCATAACTGGGGTAATAGTTTTGTGGGCATCAATCCACGACTGCTGTGTGCAATTTGCTGCCGCGTTTCGCCCACACAATACACAGTCAATCTACTTTACAGTATGTCCTGTGATGCGATTTGAGACGTCTCAAAGACGCAATAAGGCGCTGTATCAAATGCAAGCATTATTATTATTATAGTAAATCCTGTGCACACATCTACTCTCTCACTTTTCCCACTGTCACAATACCACTGCTTCACATCAATGAAAGCAAATTGTTTGTAGTTTCTGTTTCTTTTTTTCTCTGATGGAAGGGACCCGGTGCTACCTTTGCCCACTGTGCCATGGCCCCATGTTGCTTTGGGATGAAATCTGAAATGTTTTAGTATCTCTTGAACGTATTACAAAAATGCAACAAAATCCCCTCCCCCCCCAAACCCATCCCCATGTGTTGTGTTATTCCCAGCCTCTGTGAATAAATGCCCCAACCCCTTCACTCTCCCCTCCCCACCACCCGTAATGATAACTGATGTACTGGATAAAGTCACAATTTGGGAAATTTATGAATGAACGTTTGTAGATCTTGGGATCCTAGGCCAGGGCACAATGGGTTAATGAACTTCTGGAGCTTAATAGCAAACGATTCCGCAAAGGTCATGGCCCTTGGGTTATCGGAAGAATCCCGGAGAGTGAGTAACTGTGACAACGCTGTCGGAAACTGTGACAACGCTGGAATTGATGACTACTTCTGAGGACAAACCCGACGCAGCTCCTGGAAAACTGGTGAAATCCAGTCCCTGCCCACAGGAATCTCAGTGACTCAGCTGTGCTCAGCCTTTCCCATTATTGTCAACAGGATACTCTCTGCAGATGCAGCAGCGATTATATCCAGCCACCCACCAACCACCACCAACAACAACAACAACAGATCACGTCCCAGGGTGTTGGCTCATGGGTGCTCCCTGAGCATCTCACCCTACCCTGAGAGCCAAATGGACTCTGACCAGAGATTGTAATCGTTTCTATTCTGTGGAGACACGGCTTCTCGCGGCTTCTCCTGCCCTGATTTAGAAATTCGGATCCACTGACAGGAGTTCGGAGCAGCGTGAAATGAAGCAGCCAACCAGAGAGGTGGAGGCAGATTGTGTCAGCAAATTCAAGAGGGAATTAGACAACTATTTGGCAAAGGAATTTATTGTAACGGAATCATATAGAACATCACAGCATGGAAACCATCCATTCTGCCCAACTCATCCGTGGTGGTGTTTATACCCCACACGAGACTCGGCACTTCCTATTACCCTCTCCTTCACGTATACATCACACTTCAGAGGATTCAGTTCAAGATCCTGGTCCTCACCTATAAAGCCCTCAATGGCCTCACCCCACCCTACCTCTGTGACCTTTTAACCCCCTACCAACCTGCCCCCTCCCTCCGCTCAGTCGGCTCCAGCCTGCTCCATGTCCCCCGCCCCACCCACCCCACCATTGGCGGGAGAGGCTTTAGCCACTCTGCCCCCAATCTCTGGAACTCCATCCCCCAGTCACTCCGCCTCACCCCCTCCTTAGCCTCCTTTAAGTCCCACCTCAAAACCCTCCTCTTTGACCATGCCATCAGTCACCCCCTTCCCCTCCCCTCCCTTCTTCCCCCCTGACCCCAGCTTGGGTCTGAATGCTGTCACTCTCCAGCGCTTTGGGACATCCTCCCGACGTGAGAGGCGCTATACAACTGTAATCTTGTTGTTGTTGTTTCCTCCTAAATACATTGATGCTTTCTGCTTATTGTTGTTGCTTCAACCACAGTGAGTTTCACATCTCACCATAAGCTCAGTGGTTAGAGCACTCACCTCGCAAGCGAGGGACCTGGGTTCAACTCCAGGCACTGCGAAACGTTGGTCAAGTTTCCTTCCTCTACACGACTCTGTTTACCTAGCAGTAAGTAGGAACCCGGTTGTTGGTCGATTTGCGGATTGGTTTTCTGGGGTAATAATCCCTTCAAAAAAAATAATTTGGTCACTTAATCCACAACTGTTTGTGAGACATTGCGGTGCGCAATTGGCTGCCGCGTTTCACCCACGATATATGTAGTCAATTCACTTTACAGTATATTCTGTGAAGCGCATTGACACATCTGGAAGATGTGATAAAGCGAAATATCAAATGCAAGGATTATTATTATCATTCTCTGCAAAAGAAGTTCATTTGAATTCCCTTAGTGTCTTAGGATGTCCTCCCAAGGACGGTGCTATATACAACAACAACAGCTACTCACATTTATATAGCTCATTTCACGTGGGGCAGCGTCCCAGAGAGCTTATATGATGTGAGAGTTGCTATATAAATGTAAATTTGTGTTGGTACTTGGTCACCCTTTATTCATGCGCCCTCATTTTAGGTTTACCACCAAGTAAAAACGGCTTATCAATGTCCAATAAGAGATTGGCATGTTTATACATTGAGACAACAACGGTCATTTCCATTATCATATGTGCTTTACATTGTATGAGTTCTATTCCAAGCTTTGCATCTAACTATGCTGTCTTTCACCATTGGATGCTGCGTTTTGCCCACAAAATCTACAGTCAATTCACTTTATAGTATATTCTATATCAAAGACCCTATAACAAATGCAAGATTTGTTATTATTGTTTCTTACCTTGTCAACGAAAATCAACAAAGAGATCCAGCACTAATTTTGTGAAAAGATTGTGACTTTTATTTGGAATTAAAGAGTCAGTTTTATCGCCTAACCTTAATGACCAGCCTTAGCACTGGGAGGCAAAACACAGGTTGGAACATTTGCTCATTTTCGGTTACAATTTGAATGAACATTTGAATGAATTGACTGTGGAGTCCTGTAGCTCAGTGGTTAGAGCACTCGCCTTGCAAGCGAGACACCTGGGTTCAATTCCAGGCAGAGGGCGAAACCTTGGGCAAGTTTCCTTACTCCACACACCTAATAATAATCCCTCCAAAAACAATAATAAATTGGCCATTTTCAATCCACAACTGTTTGTGGGACATTGCTGTGTGCAATTGGCTGCCCACAAATATACAGTCAATTCACTTTACAGCATATTCTGTGAAGCGCTTTGAGATGTTGAGAAGACGTGAAAAGTGCTGTATCAAATGCAAGGATTATTATTATTACTATTATTAATATCTAAGTTTTTTTCCTAAATCGAGCTTATCAGTTGCACATCCCATGGAAGATATTTAAGGCTGTGTCTGTCATTGATGGAGGGGTGGAAGGTCAGGCATTTTTTTTGTGGGGGTGGGGGTGGGGGGAGGAATATAGCAGGATATTTAGAGATAAATGCATTTTTGTGTATGTGCATTTTTGGGATTACTGAAAGTGTAATAAACTCAGCTGGAAATTCTGCGTTGCTGGACCAGATCGGATGAAGCACTTTGAGATATCTCGATGACTTGATAAGGCGCTGTATCAAATGCAAGGATTATAGTTATTATTGTATTATTTCTATTATTATATCCCCACACAGTAGAGTAGCCAGGATACATCTGTACAAGACTCAGTATGCACTGTGTGCGAAAAGTTACATTCATCATGTAGGCCATGAGGAGAGTTACAGTTAGAGCACTCACAAAAGTCTTGGGGCTGATGGGCTGGGGGCTGAGTTATCGCTTTGTTTTGGTACCTTGGCCTCAAGGCTTGCGTCTTTCTGAACTGAACTTGCGGCATTGTCATAATAACCTGTGGAAAATACCAGCGCTACATAACAACAACAACTCGGATTTATATAGTGCCCTCCACGCCGGATGGCATCTCAGAGCGCTTCACAGTAACGGATCCCGGGACCGAGCCGGGGGAGGGGGAGGAGCCAGGGGGGGAGTGGGAGGAAGGTGACCAAAGGCGCGGTCGAAAAGAAAGGTCTTCAGCCGAGACCTGAAAATAGGAAAAGAGGGGGCGAGGCGAAGGGAGTGAGGAAGCGAGTTTCTAGAGTTTCACGGCTGGCCTCCCATAATAGATGGCTTACGATGAGTCTGTTTTCCATTCCGCTCCCACATCTGCTGGAACTCCCTGGGGGTAGCAATTCTCCATTTACTGACCAAACCTGTTACTTCTCTTAAGAAAATGAGACATTTGTATATAACAAATTTTCCTCTACGTGTATATATCGACTGCTGTTTCACACCTGTGGCTCTCTAACTCAGCCTCACCCTCATCCTACTCTCTTCCTTCATTCTCTGTTGCTTCTCCCCTCTGATTTCTGCTATTTTTATGTTGCCATCCTCCTTCCAGGTTTACGTCACTCCTTAAAGAGCTCAAGGATGCTATCCTATGTGAAGAGCGCTGTATAAATGAAATTTGTCGTTTACATCAACCCTCAGTGCTATCAATGTCAAGCTATGTGATCTTAGTTGGTTAGACTCCAGTAGTTACCCCAACACACACTCTGGGCTTCCCAAGCCTCGGCTCTTGCCAACTTGTGTCTAATAGTTTCCAGAATTGGGTAACAACAACAACAACTTGGATTTATATAGCGCTCTCCACACCGGACGGCGTCTCAGAGCGCTTTACAGTAACCGATCCCGGGGCCGAGCCAGGGGGAGGGGAGGAGCCAGGGGGAGGGGGAGGAAGGTGACCAAAGGCGCGGTCGAAAAGAAAAGTCTTCAGCAGAGACCTGAAAATGGGAAGGGAGGGGGCGAGACGAAGGGAGTGAGGAAGGCAGTTCCAGAGCCTCAGGGCATAGTGGCTGAAGGCACGGCCACCAAGGGTGGAGCGGAGGACTCGGGGGACAAGGAAGAGGTCAAACCCGGAGGAATGAAGGCAACAAGTACTGTTTTGAGGAGAGAGGAGGTCAGAGAGGTCGGGGGGTGCAGAGGAGTGCAGGGACTTGAATACAAGGACAGGCAGTCAGTGCAGTCTGGCAAGGACTGGGGGGATCAGGGAGCGGAGTTTTGTGCAGGTGAGAATGCGGGCGGCAGAGTTTTGAATGATTTGGATTTTATGGATGGTAGTGGATGGGAGACTAGTGAGGAGGGCGTTGGAGTAGTCCAGCCGAGAGGTGACAAAGGCATGGACCAGAGTTTCAGCGGCTTTTGGGGAGAGGTATTGGCGGAGACGGGTGATGCGTCAGAGGTGGTAGAAGGCGGTGCTGGTGAGGGACTGGATGTGGGGGAGAAAGGATAATTGGGGGTCGAACCTGACGCCTAGGTTGCATACGGATTCAGAGCCGTGAGATTTTAGACGTTGACAAGAACCAAAGAGTATGGCTTCCGTCTTGTCAACGTTCAGCCTAAGGAAGTTTGCGCTCATCCAGCTCCTGAGGTCTGACAAGCAGCTGATAGAACATCAGGGGAGTCTCACTTAATGTGAGACACACCTATTGAGTTGTTGAGTATTGTTAGAGGATGATGTCAGGCCACAGAAGTGCTCCACCCAGTTTAATGGATGAACCTGGTATTGTACTGGAGGATGTTTAGGCGCAATAATCAACTACTTTGTTTCCACTGAACAATGTACTGTCTGTAAACATCTACTCTTCTGACTCAGAAGCTGTTGGGTTACTTCTGCTTCTGTGTACGTTTTTGTTGCTGTTGGTTACTTTGTTGGCTGAACTCAAATAAGGTGGAATTTGGTTTACCTCCTTGCCTATGTGCATCATCTGCCTGAAATATTGAATCTATTCCAAAGGGTTTTGCCTCTTGATACAACCCAAAGCCTACTTATCATGTTTTTGTGGTGTCTTAAAGCACTTCACCGAATATATTGTAAAGTTAATTAAAGTGTAACTTTAAATGTAAAGTGGAGTCCTGTAGCTCAGTGGTGAGAGCACTCGCTTTGCAAGCGAGAGACCTGGGTATCGATTCCCGGCAGGGCGAAACCGTGGGCAAGTTTCCTTACTCCACACGCCTGATAATAATCCCTCAAAGAAAAACAATAATAACTTGGTCATTTCAATCCACAACAGTTTGTGGGATGCTGCTGTGCGCAATTGGCTGCCGCATTTTGCCCACAAATATACAGTCAATTCACTTTACCGTCTATTCTATGAAGCACTTTGAGATGTCTAGAAGACGTGAAAAGCTCTATATCAAATGCAAGGATTATTATTATCTGTATATTTTGTGGGTGAAACACAGCAGCTAATTGCACACGTCAGTGTCCCACAAACCGTCATGGATTGAGTGGCCAAATTATTCTTTTTTTTTTGGAGGGGTTATTATCCCCGGAAAGCAATCCGCCAATCGACTAACAACCAGATTCCTACTTACTGCTGGGTGTGTGATTAAGGAAATTTGCCTTAAGGAAACAATTTCACCCTGCCTGGTAATTGAACCCGGGTCTTCTTTCTTGCAAGATGAGTGCTTTAACCAATAGATTGCAGGACTCATTTCCACAAAGTCTTACTTTGGTGATAAAACCATTTCGCCTGAAAATTTAAGTCCATGCAGAATTGCTGAAACTACTTAAATTCAGTTTTTGATTCCAGTTTTTCGTAGTTCTTAATAACGAACCAGTAGCTAAATGAAGTGGAAGATTTGTGAACGTGCAACAAGGCAACTCCTTGGGAACAAATAAACTTTTATTTGAAGCTTGTGGAAATTAAGAGTTCCTTGCATCCCATTTACAAATTAAGTGTTTATTGTTGCCTGCTGTACTTTGTAATCCATCAGTTAATAAATGTCAATGTTACAAACTGGAGGCAGAATTAATTTGAAAATATGAATGGAAGGACATTTAGGACAATTCTTCTTTTGCAAACCATATTCACATCTCACTTAGAGATGTGAAATAAACTAAGGGGTAAAATTTGCATATTCTGAAATGCATTCCGTTAATTATCGCCGGGGATAATTAAGGAATAATTTTCAATTTAGAACTAAAGCAAAGTGGTTGTGTTAAACAACAAATTACATTTAGATACTTTTTTACATTTGCAGAGCATCTTTCACTCCAGGAGGAATAAATCTATATTTCATGGATATTAAACCGCACGATTAAAAGCAAAGGTGCAAAGTGGTGACAGAAAGGCTGTGTGGAACATCTCCTGTGGTGTGGGTACCAGGTGGGAATGTGACCTGGTTGTGGTGGTACTTAATAAAAGATCTGGTGGTGCAGAAAATAGTCATTTGGTGATTACAAAATCATTTGTGTTATAACAAGCAGTACAATTCAAAGCACAAATGGATATTTTTATTGCAGAGGATCAAAACTACAATCATTTTCAAAGTGTCTTCAACAAAGGGCTCAATTGCCACCAACACCAACTGAAAGGAACATCACCTTTCAAACCATTCACCTCATCCAAGAGATCAACCAAGGGAGGAGCTTTTCACGGATGGCAATGCTGACTAATACTGCACAGCACCTCAAAAAACCTTGGCACCCTTACATTTTACACCCTCTCATATTCTAGGGGGCTAATTGGGGATTTCATTACCAGCATGTGTAAGAAATATTGGGCAACACCGCAAATCTATCCTATTTTTTAATTTGCCCCAGAATGCCTTTATCAATATTAACCTATACCTCAAATGCCCCTCAGAACCCCTGTTCCCAGGGAGCCACCCCTTCTGATCAGTTGGTTGCTAGTGTTTTCGCAACCCTCATTCCTTATGCTAATTAACACAAGGAATTGGTTAAGAAACACCGCAGATTTTACCCCGTTGCTTTGAAATTGAAACTGTTTCCACTGCAAGTGGATCGGAAACCAGGGGACATAGATTTAAAATAATTGATGAGAGGGTTGTTACGGTCTGGAATGCACTGCCTGAAAAAATAATAATAATAATAATCCTTGCATTTGATATAGCGCTTTTCACGTCTGGAGGACGTCCCAAAGCGCTTCACAAAACACACTGTAAAGTGAATTGACTGTATATTTGTGGGCGAACGCAGCAGCCAATTGCGCACAGCAATGTCCCACAAACAGTCGTAGATTGAAAATGACCAATTTATTATTGTTTTTGGTTTTGGAGGGCGTATTATTAGGCTCTGTGTGGAGTAAGGAAACTTGCCCAAGGTTTCACCCTCTGCCTGGAATTGAACTCAGGTCTCTTGCTTGCAAAGCGAGTGCTCTAACCACTGAGCTACAGGACTCCAAGATTGGTGGAAACAGATTCAATAACAACTTTCAAAAGGGAATTGGAGAAGTTACTTGAAAAGTAAGAATTTGTAAGGATATGGGGAAAAAGCGGGGGAGTGGGACTGAATCGGTATCTCTTCCAAAGAGCCAGCAGAGGCCCAATAAGTCGAATGGCCTCTTTCTGTCTCTTAATATTCTATGATTCTATGAAAGGCGCATGGCAGAATTAATTTCTACAGTGGACTGTCACCAGGCTTCATACAATCGCAGACAACTTCTTGGTCAGTGGCCGGTGTCTACACTTCAATAATTTCTCCTTTCAATCACTTACACAAATTGCTTTGAAAATAATTTGTGGACTCTACCTCGATGATGGTGGCAGAGAATTCCCCATTCCCACCACCACTAATAATAATAAATTGGTGACTTCGATCCATGACTGTTTGTGTGTGACGCTGCTGTGCGCAATTGGCTGCCGCATCTGGCCCATAAAATACAGTCAATTCACTTTACAGGATATTCTGTGACGCATTTGAGACGTCTAGAAGACATGATAAGGCGCTGTATCAAATGCAAGGATTATTATTATTTTATTCCCCTTTGTAACCTGAATTTTGTGTAACTTTGCTCCCAGACACTTTCTCCAGTCAAAGCTCCCACTGCCATTATTCAGGGAGCAATGATCTGGGGTCTATGTTTAATGGCCGTACATGTGCAAGGGGTCTGAAAGCAGCAAAGTGATTCATTTTAAAGGTGGTGTTATCAATCGTTTGATGGTAACAACTTGCTGTCGATGGCAATGGGAGACCCGGTGCTCTATTGGGAACATTCGATGCTAAGAAATTCAGACTCTTTATTTCAAAGTGGGGTGATGGCAAACATGCAATGCGGGGGAACTAGAGGCAGTCTCTGTCTGACCTCACACAATCATAGCCGTGACAGTGCTTATTAACTCCTGCGTGCCTAAGCAACGTGACTGGTTTTATATGTATCCGACTAGACGCGGACTGCTCGGGAAGGTTTTGCGCATTCCCATGCACTTTTCCTGATCAACAAACAAGGAGTTTGCTTTAATGGAGAGATCGTACTCCAAGGCTGCCTTAGTGTGAACCAGCATCTGTAGCATGTCCTCTGCCTCCTCCAATCTCTGCTGTAGGGTTTGGATGGATGTGTCCAGCGTCCACACCTCATTAACGAGGCTGTAGAAAGACAAAGGAAAGAAAGGGCGGGCAATACTTTGTAAGAATCAAACGTCAAACATGGAGCAACCCAAGTGTGACTATTACTTTTGTTGCTTTCATAGGATATAATAATATATTATTGACCACAAAATATACAGTCAATTCCCTTTACAGTACATTTTGCGCTTTGAGATGTTTTGAAGACCTGATAAGGCGCTATATCAAATGCAAGGATTATTATTATTAATAATCCTTGCATTTGATATAGCGCCTTTCACATCACGAGGATGTCTCAAAATTCTTGATACGATACATTTGTACAGTACATTCAGTACACTTTGTATTTTGTGAATGTGACAGCCAATTTGCGTACAACAATGTCCCAAAAACAGCCCTTGGCGAATGACCAATTTTACATGGGGGATTGTCAGCCAGGACACTGGGAGAAAGTTCCTTCTCTTTTTGAATAATGCTGCGGGATCTTTAACAGGCAGTCAGAACCTCGGCTTAACGTCTCATCTGAAGGACGGCACCAATGAAAATGCAGTGCTTCCCCAACACTGCAATGAAGTGGCAACCTAAAATCCAAAATCCAGATGGATTTTGAATCCACAACTTTCTGACTAAGAGATGGGAATGCTGCCAACTGAGCCAGGTTGGCACACACCTTGATGTAGTAATTGTCACAGAAGAGTCCAACAAAACGTTTTGACCCCAACTGGACACGAAACAGCTCATACATATTAAACAATAATAAAAAAGTGGGTGAGTAAAATGTCATTGAAGAATTCACCCCTGGCGTTCTATTCACCTTTAATTATTAATGTCACTGAAATATTTATTTTTATACTTTAACTCCTCCTGGTAACAGTTCTGACTCAAATTTTGTCAGATGAAATACGTAGGCATGCAAAGGGCCGTTCAGCATTGCTCTAGCTTTCATTTCTTCAATCTTTCACCTGTTAGCTGTCTAACTCCATCTCAAATTTATTGGAACAATCTGCCCTCATCCATTCCCTGTGTGGCCCATTCACCAGTTGCTGTGTAAAGTGATTCAATCTAAATTCTGTGTTCAACTTCTGTCTTCCGAGATTGAGTTGTGCCTTTCGCCCACAAAATATACAGTCAATTCACTTCACAATATATTCTGTGAAACACTTTGAGACACCTCGACGACACGATAAGATGCTATATCGAATACAAGGATTCTTATTTATTTTTGTGCCCCCTAGTAGGCAAACAAAAAACCCTTCTCTCTGAATCCTGGGATTTGTGCCTCTTTTTCTCCTCTGCTTAGTGACCCTAGTTTTATTTCAGATTAATTATCATTTTCTTGAGTGCCCGCATCTGTCGAGATCTTCAATTTTACTCCCAGAAAATCTTAGTTATTTATTACTTGCTGACACCACACCTCAGCAAATAATAAATAGAATAAATATTTTTTGCATTTGATACCCTTCCGTGGAGTCCTGTAGCTCAGTGGTTAGAGCACTCGCTTTGCAAGTGAGAGACCTGAGTTCAATTCCAGGCAGAGGGCCAAACCTTGGGCAAGTTTCCTTACTCCACACGCCTAATAATAATCCCTCCAAAAACCAATAATAATAATAAATTGGTCATTTTCAATCTACGACTGTTTGTGGGACATTGCTGTGCGCAATTGGCTGCCGCGTTCGCCCACAAATATACAGTCAATTCACTTTACAGTATATTCTGTGAAGCGCTTTGGGACGTCCTCCCGACGTGAAAAGCGCTATATCAAATGCAAGGATTATTATTATTATTATTATCATGTCATCGAGACATCTCAACGTCCCTCACAGGAATTACTGTAAAGTGTGTAATTATGGGTGAACTTGTACACAGTCAATTTGCACACCCAACGCTCAAACAAATAACATAACATTTGGCAGAAACTTGAATGTGGTGATCAATCTTACTCTGTGTGTGTGTGAGAGAGAGAGCTCTCCATTTACTGACTTACCGATGCTGGACAGGGTCACGGCACAGTTCCACGTTCGGTCTCCTTGTACGTTCATCCAAGCGAGTCTGAGCCACCTTCAGCGGTGCTTCCTTATCTTTGATTGCCCTTTTGATGCCCTGAATTGTCATTTCAGTTTGAAAGATCTCCTGCAGAGTCTGAATAAGAAGAGAAACCAGGAAATCACAGTCGGCATCCTTACAACTCCTGATGTTATTAATATAATAATAATCCTTGTATTTGATATAGCACCTTATCACGTCTTCGAAACGTCTCAAAGCGCTTCACAGCATATACTGTAAAGTGAATTGACTGTATATTTTGTGGCGAAACGTGGCAGCCAATTGCACACAGCAGCGTCCCACAAACAGCCGTGGACTGAAGTCAGCAAATTATTATTTTTTTGAAGGGATTATTACAGTTGCATGTTATATTTCATGCACATGTAAACCCTGAATAGGTTTACTTACTGTTTGACTTTGTTCAATGAAAGCATTATTTAATTAGAGAAATCAAACAGAAAAGCTACTCCCTGTGTCTGATGCCATTTAATATTTTGGGAAATAAAATACTATCAAATATGTTTGAATGCTGAAAATCACCCGAAATATGTGGATCTTAAAATTTGCTGCTAAATCAGCATAGATTTATGCACATCTGACTATTTACTCTGTTCATCTTTGAATATGCTCATTTACATCAACAATTATGAAATTCCAATTTTGAGATCTTCAACAGGTAAAAGCAGTTGCTAAACATTTTAACATTGTGGAAGTATGTAAGTGTATAAGTTGCTACAAAATGTCTAACTTTACAATCAAACTGTTGCAAGTAATTTTCCAACATTTAAGTGTTTCCCAAAATGTTCACATTTTCCAAAGTTCTATTCCAAATGCCAAGATTCGAGAGTAAATATGCAAGCTGACACTTTGTTATCAACAACAACAACAAACTTACATTTATAGAGCGCCTTTCACGTCGGGAGGATGTCCCAAAACGCTGAACAGTCAGGTGTCGGGGCCCGAGTATGGGGGAGGGGTGGAGTAGGGGTGAGGGAAGGCAGAGAGATGGGAGGGAGACCAAAGGCACGGTCGAAGAGAAGGGTCTTGAGACCGGCCTTGAAGGAAGCGAGGGAGGAAGCGAGGGGAAGGGACCCCGGGATGGAGTTCCAGAGTGTGAGGGCAGAGAGGCTGAAAGCCCGGCCACTGATGGTAGGGTGGGTTGGGTGGGAGACATGGAGCAGCCGGTGCCCGGTGAGCAGAGGGAGCGGGCAGGTTGGTAGGGAGTCAGTAGGTCAGAGAGGTAGGAGGGGGCAAGGCCATGGATGGCCTTAAAGGTGAGGACGAGGATCTTGAACTCGATCCTCTGGGGGATGGGGAGCCGATGGAGTCGGGCGAGGGTGGGAGTGATGGTGCGCGAGAGTACACGAGCTGCAGAGTTTTGGATGATCTGCAGCTTGTAGATAATAAGCACACAAAATTACAAAGATGGGCTTTTGCGAAGATTACATGAATGTATATAATTGTAATCTTTAATGTATAATATATTCTGTGAAGCACCTGAGACGTGTCAAAGACGGTATGACAAATGCAAGTCTTATTATTATTCCTTACATTTGGTCCAGTATCTTTCATGGACATACTGTAAAGTGTTTCACAGGATATACTCTGTGTAGATATGCTTTGTGGGCAAATGTGAAGTGCAATCACTGAGGCTAAGGTAAGCGATTCCTTCAGTCTATCTTAAAAATGTTCTGCTGATGTAATGGTATTTATTTGATAAAGTTGTTGGCTAATGTAAATTTGAAATAAATGCTTGCGTGGCTTTGGACATGAAATAAATATGCTTTTACACAGCTCACAATACTGCCTGAGGGATGATAAACAGCTCCTGTCAGCACATTAACCTGACTCCTCTGTGTAATTATTATTACAAAAAGGGGCTGAGGGGGCTGGATCCATTCACATTTTCAAGGCTGAGGTGGATGGACATTTGTTAGGTCAGGATATTAAGGGACAAGAGGCAAAGGCGGGTAATTGGACTTGAGGAACAGATCAGCCACAATCGAATAGAATGGCGGAACAGGCTCGAGGGGCTGAATGGCCTCCTCCTGTTTCTATGTTACTACGTTTCGATTACCTTAGCAAGATGTGTCTGCAGTTTGTTCTTGGCATTGGCTGTCTCCGAGATGCGGTGTGTGAATGATACGTTCACTGCGTTGAACTGGCTCCACAGCTCGTTAGAAGTCGCATTAAGGAGATTTTCTATGTCATCTCGGAGTTTAGCGGATGTGCTCCTTTCACTCTGGGATCGTAAGACGTTGTCGTCTGTAAATTTGGCCCAAGACTCTGGAACTGAAATTCTGTAGGAATTAAGGATACAGTTAAAGGGATTGTATTCAATCAGACTGAAGCTCAACAAAATCCTCAACAACTTCTTAGATACCTGCGCTGGCAGTGTGACCTTCCTGCCCTTGACGCTAATGGTCCCGTGTAAAGAAAAAGGAGCTTCCCTTGGTGTCCTGTCCAAAATGCTCCAGATAACTTGAACATTCATTTCTTACCTGTTTCTGTGACTTTGCTGTGCAAATATTGGCTGCCATGTTTGTCTGCAAAAAGTCACCACACTTAACAACAACAATAATAATAATCCTTGCATTTGATATAGCACTTTTCACGTCTTCTAGACATCTCAAAGCGCTTCACAGCATATACTGTTGAGTGAATTGATTTATATTTGGGGCAAAATGTGGCAGCCAATTGAGCACAGCAGCGTCCCACAAACAGTTGTGGATTCAGTGACCAATTCATTATTGTTTTTTTGTCTTGAGGGATTATTATCAGGTATGTGAAGTAAGGAAACTTGCCCAAGGTTTCGCCCTGCCGGGAATTGAACCCAGGTTTCTTGCTTGCGAGGCTAATGCTCTATCTACTGAGCTACAGTACTCCACAATTACTGAAGTGCTCTGAGACATTTCAGCTTTATACATTCTACATCAAATACAAGGATTATTTATCTTGCCCATTTCCTGTCCCTGAAATGTCTCATGGTCTTAAAATCATTGATCTAAAAATATAAGATCGCTCAGAATTTTGGAAAATCCTTGAATTGAGACTAAATTTGGAACTGCTCCATTGCTAGGGAGAGGGTTGTGTGAATTTCAGGATTCTGCATATTCTGATATGATCACAGCTTAGTTACCACCATCAACATGAATTTCATTGCTGCTGACAGAATAGAAGGCAACTTGTTTGGTGTATTGTTTTATATGGATCAGAATGTGTGATATAAAATCAGTGTGAAACCTCATTGATGTCTCTGAAGTATCACAAATCAATGATATTGATTCCATGATTTTCCCACTGCCGCAAGATAAACTGATATGGATATGTGTCAAAAGACCAGTCACTGCTAAATGAATATATTAATGAATATGCTTAATGAGTTAATGAATACCATGAATATTTTAATGTGCCATGAATATATTAATGCATGCAGTACTCCAAAGGTGCAGGAGTGTTGCATGTGAGGACCCAAAGCTATGCAGGATTGGCATTTTTATATAAAGCACTTTATCTATCAAAATGTCCCAAAGCACTTCACATTATTACTATCAAGATCACTGACTGTTTATTGTAAGCATGTGTGACAGTCATTTTGTGCACAGCAATGTCCCATGAACAGTCATAAAGTGAATCGCCAATTATATCTGGAGAATTATTGGCCAAGACCCCTTTTCTTTTTGAGTAGTGCCATGTAACAGATCTTAACGTCGACCTCTACAGGTACAGACAGGACCTCAGCCTTGTCTAAAACATTCTGACATTGCAGGTCTCACCCATTGACTGGACTGGAGTGTCAGTCTAGGCTGATGGCCAACAAAACCAGTGTCCAAGGCCACATAACTCCAGTCAAACACCGCCCTACAAGCAAGATAGTGGATGAACGGTTGTTGGAGAATGAAACCGTTTTAAACTATCCCAACAATTGTTAATGCATGAGTAATCCATTGGACCTCTGAGAACACATTATGTATTTTCTAGGCATGAGTTTAGCTTTGGAAAATCCCATTCCAAGTGTGCACTGCCAAATACAAGCAGAGAATAAATCCTGTCGAGTTTCAAAGTGTTAAGTTACATATAGGCTATTGACCCATTTTATGAATGGATCTCATCAGTGTGAGAGGGAATCAGTGAGCCAGGAGGAAACTAATGCCCAGAATCTCCTCCAACTGAGTTTCAGCACACACGCTCTATCCCGCTGGATGAAGCCACAACGCTGGTGAAATCATTCAAGGGAACTCGATTTCTAGTTCAAGAATTCTCAATTTACAAACCTTCCTTTGGTAACAAGCGACAGATCAGTGTACAGTGGTGTAAAAACTCACGTGGCATCTACACGTTCCACACCCCTGTAGTAACTGATCCCATCTGATGTGTTGCGTAGCTGGTGACATTTGTCGTCAATTCTCTGAGCCATGCTTTTGTCACTGAGGTCTCTTTCCAGCTCATGCTGGGCTGCCCGATTTGATCTACGAATACAAACATACTTACTTAATCATAGGGCAATCCCTGAACTAACATGCACAGCAAACGCAGCAGATGCACCTCTAGCGCAGACAGGATGGGAGCCACAATCTATGGGTCAACATCAATGGCCTTCGTGCAGAGGCATTACAAATTAGAGCAATACAAAACTAATTCTGTCCAGATGACTTGTTTTCAAATGAATTTGTTAACAGACAAACATAGGAGCTAAATTTAAAAATTGGAATAATAATAATATCCCGTTGTTAGTCGATTGACGAATCTCTTTTCTGGGGATAATAGTCCCTATAAAAAAAAATGTGGTCACTCAATCCACGACTGTCTGTGGGACACTGCTGTGCGCAATCAGCTGCCGCGTTTCACCACAAAGTATGCAGTCAATTCTGTGAAGCGCTTTGAGATGTCTCGAAGACGTGGTAAGGCAATATATCAAATGCAAGGATTATTATTATCATAATCGCTGCATTTGATACAGCACCTTATTCTTCGAAACATCTCAAAGCGCTTCACCGAATATACTGTAAAGTGAAACGCGGCAGTAAATTTCATACATCAGTGTCCCACAAACAGTCATGAGTGACCAAATTATTTTTTTTATACCGTATATATTTTTTAAGGGATTATAACCCCCAGAAAAATGGCCCGCCAATCAACTAACAACTGGGTTCCTGTTTACTGCTCGGTAAACAGAGGCGCGTGGAGTAATGGAAACTTGCCTAACATTTCGCCCTGCTGGGAATCAAATTTAATTGAAAGAATTTACTCCCTGGAACCATTGCCCCTACTGTGGAGGTCGCCATATTACAGCAAATGTAACAATCACTAACCTCCTCAGATGTCACAAGTTACCTACTACAACACAGCTCATCAACCTATCAATCACTTCCCAGGCACTGTTTGGTAAATTGATTGCTTGCAAAATACTGACTGACCTCCAGCTAACATCTTAAGCTCTGGGTTAATACCTAAAGGACATTTGTGTTTAATGAAGCATCAAGATTTTAGAGCATGCATCCACTCAAAGCACCTTCAGGTGTCAGCACCCAGGCCTGGTGTATCACTGTTAGGTACAGAACAAAGCTCCGAATCTCCGATGTCTATTTCTCTACAATCCTCCCTCCCCCTGTCCCTTCAAATCTAATTACCCAATCTGATTTGGTGGAGTGTTTTGGTGCTGTACGTCTTTTTGTATGTAATTCTATGTACGTAAAAGAAGAATATTAAAGGTTATGGAGGAGTGAGCAGCAGATTGGGATGAGACTGGGAAGCTCATGTGGAGAAAAACACCAGTGCAGACTTGATGAGCCATAGGCCTTTTTCTGAGCTATAACATTCTCTGAATCTAGTGCTGATTTAATGCCTTTGGCTGGGTCATTATTCAAGCTTTTTCCATGCTTTTCCTTGTGGTCACACTGTCAAATTATGATCCTTACGCGAGCTGGGTTATTGTCCTGTTGAGATGTCTTCTCATTCTTTCTTGACACGACTTTATACAATCAACTTCCTATTGAAAACCAGCCAAATATTCAGACCGTTACTCACTTCAGCAAAAAGAGCCACAAATCGAATTGTGATTGAGAGAGAAAGTCGGGGTGGGGGAGGGGGATGGTGGGGGGGTGGGTGGTGGTGGTGGGGTTCCGAGTGGATTACACGCACCTTCAGCAGCAGTTTCTCAACATCATCATGCACCAGATCTATACCCATCCTCTTCTCTCGGTGGTACAAGCATTCCTGGGCCACCTGTCATTGACACAGATAGAGAAGACTAATGCAAAATTTGTTCTTTAACATTATGATATATAATTATTGTCTTATCAAATCTCAGCAACATTTTATTGGTTGTTGATGCTACCACTGAATGTATTGTTTGTCTAACACATCCTTTTCGAGCAGAGATACCCTAGCTCAATTGGTAGCATGCTTGATTCTGGGTTAGAAGGTTGTGGGTTCAAGCCCCACCTCATCCTCGGAGCTCTCACTTAAGTCTGACCCCCCCCCCCGTGTAATATTGGAAGGAGTACCGCATTATTAGTGATGACATGTTAAACTACGTCTGTATGACTGATCAGTATTAAAGACTTTGTGTGAAACTTTTAAAAAAATGGAGTTCTCCCAGTGTCCTAACCAATAATTCGCCAAGTATTTGCCATATGGCTACTTACAGGCACAAACGGCTACCTCGTTTACACAAACAGTTATGCCAATTGACATTAATTGTTATAAAGTGTGTTTATATAAGGTGCTAAAATATACAAGTTTCTTATTATTATTCAGCCATCTAGACTTTGAAACCTTACAACAACTCTACACAATGTAAATGTTATTTGATTTAAATCCCAGTCCCATTGGGCTACTCCTTTATATTCCGCTTGTTAGAGATTTGAACTCTTCTATAGCAACGAGGGTAACTCATGAACGAAGCCACAAGATCACAGGTTGATTGCCTGCTTGCTCAGTCTAGGTAAGAAGCCTTAATCAGATAGGAGAATGTGATCAGATAGGAGAAACAACATAACTAAAGACAGGCAAATAGAGCTACCAACTCTTTTCTGTTTCTAAAATATAGTGCAAGTATTCAAAATGGAATATCTGACTTTATTAATGCATAATTAAAATATAGCACTTTAATGGAAGGCAATGTCAAATAACTGGATTATTTAAATTTCCCCCACAAAATATACAATCTATTCACATTACAGTGCATTCTGCGAAGTGCTTTGAGACGTCTCGAAGGTGTGATAATGCGCTATGTCAAATGCAAGGAATGTTATTATTAACATTCGCAGTACATTACCTGTAGAGGACTCTCAGTTTCTGCCAAGGACCGTTCCAATCGCTTCTTCGCCTCTGTGAGTGCGTGGATCTCTCTGATGACCTGATCAGTCTCATGAGTTAGTTCGGATTTCCAGTAGACAATATCACTGACACGCTCTCCCAAGTTCTTGCTGGTCTCAGACTGAATCTTCCTGGTGATCTGTTCCTTGTCCTGGATCAGACGTGCGGTGTCCACCCTTAGCCTCACTGCGCTGTGCCTGGAAGACTCGGATTCCCTGTAGTTGTTCTGGTTGGACAGATGCCAATCCTGAGGAGAATACCTGGTGAACAGCACCATTCTGTTTGACGGAGAATGGGGCTTAGCTTGAATAACCTCGGGAACATTCTTGGAGAATGAGGCCAGAGAAGGAACCATGGAAGCCACTTTGTAATAGGTATTGGGTCTCCAAGGCATAATTAAACTATGGGTGACGGAGTTAAGAGGATTCTGGCCCCTGTAGCTTGATGCCATCGCAGATATAGCTGGTAGAAAGTTAGACCCAGCTGTCCTGGGCCTAGTATAGATAGTCTTCATTCTGGAGTCTAAGAGTTCCACGTTGCCTACACCTAGAAACTAAATAAAACGATTACATCTAAACGTGTTTGTTGTCACAATCATTAGACAAAGATTTGAAATGGACAAAATGCAAAAAAGGTATGTGAGAAAGGCAGGGGAGTGAGTCTAAACAGGTAGCTCTTACAGAGTCAATATAGGAATAATGGATCTTCTGTATTGAAAAGTTCTGCAATTCTCTGCTATGGTTCATTAGGTGATATCACACAGAAAAGTAATGAAAGTACTGAGCGTGTTACTGTTTAACATGTGGCGGATCAGAACACTAAGCAACAGTGGACAAGCAACACACCTCTTCCAACAAAACTCTGCTTGAAATCCAGAACAGTTTGCTGCTTGGGTTTCTCACATTGGATGTTTTGTGTATTGGATCATATTGTGCCTTCAGCTGCCCTCCTACCTCTCTGCCCTCCCTCATCCCAACCCTGCCTGTCCCCGTCCTGATACCCGCCTGTTCAGCACCTTGGGATGTCCTCCCGACATGAAAGGCGCTTTACAAATGTAACGTTGTTTTTGTTGTTGTTGATTGGTAAGTGTAGTATCACTTGGGTGAAAATGTGGTGCCGTGAAGATAAGCACATAATTTTTCAACCAAATGGCTCTATCTCCTGATTTTAGTGAAAGACGCCTTTTATGAATATCGCACCAATCCAAAAGGGTTGGTCTGATATTCTACAGAGAAAAGAGTGAAGAAAGAGAAAGATGTCACCGTAGCTCTAGGTTAGGACTTCAAACCTTCTGTCAGCACTTTGAGCGTGCAGTCTAGGCTGGCAGGACAAGAGCTGCATTTATGCAGGTGAAGTCCTGTAGCTCAGTGGTTAGAGCACTCGCTTTGCAAGCGAGAGACCTGAGTTCAATTCCAGGCAGAGGGCGAAACCTTGGGCAAGTTTCCTTACTCCACACAGAGCCTAATAATAATCCCTCCAAAACCAAAAACAATAATAAATTGGTCATTTTCAATCTAAGACTGTTTGTGGGACATTGCTGTGCGCAATTGGCTGCCGCGTTCGCCCACAAATATACAGTCAATTCACTTTACAGTGTGTTCTGTGAAGCGCTTTGGGACGTCCTCCCGACGTGAAAAGCGCTATATCAAATGCAAGGATTATTATTATTATCTTGCCATGTGAAAATTGACTACTGCTTTGTCTGCAAACACATAGTCACTACACTTCACTATTGCTAGAGTTAGATAGAGAGAAACTAAAATACAAAGAGTAAAGCAAAACGATTTATAATATTTATACTGAACTATGCCATTATTGGAATAATTCACATAATTCTAGTAATTTGGTGCAGACATTCTTATGTACACTGCTTGGGTCAAATATCTCAAGAATGTGATTATTTGATTGTAGCCTCCAATCATTAATCCAGGTAAAACCTGGAAACCTGCATATTAATAATAATCCTTGTTTTGATAAAGTGCCATATTATCATAGTATTTTTGGTGAACAAGGCAGCTGATGTATACATGGCAGAGACCCACAAACAGTCATGCAGTAGGGTGAATGATCATATTTTTCTGGGGGATTGTTGGCCAGGATACCAGGAGAAACCCCCTTCTCTTTTTTAAATAGCGTCACAGGATCTTTAACTTCCACCTGAAACAGACAGAGAGACCTGAGTTTAACGATGACAATTCAGCGTTTTGGCTAGACTATGAACTCAAAGTCCCAACGTGGGGTTTGAACCCACAACCTTCTGACCCAGAGTCAAGAGGACTATCGACTGAGCCAGGCTAAGGGAAAGGTGGCTCTTATACATCCATCCCATGATAACCGTTTCCATTGCTTACCCACGTCCTAGCCTTGAGAGTCCTGATCCGTTTACATCAGTCTCCCCCAAAAATTATAGTTATGGCTGGCCTATTCCAGCAACAGTACTTTCTGTTGTTAATCGCCAATTATTCAATGCATATTTTTTTTTCTCCCCGGTCGCCTGATACCGAATGATTCCAATTTACTGACCCAGACAGACTTGGGTGAGTTCGCAACCAGCAACTGAGGACTTTTGAAACGAAAAAAAAATAAAGTTGCTGTAATTCCACCGAAGGAAATTAAGAAAAAAAAAAGTTTTATAGAAAGCCTTAAATCACGAACAAAGTATATATTGCACCTACTGACCAGACAGTGGGTCCTGCTGTCTCTGGGAGCTGATTCACCGGCTTTTTCTCTGATGAAGAAGGTTCAGAGCTGGGAAGGTTGCTGCTCAGTCACCCAAACCTGCTTTGTCCTGGAGCGGTGGGCGGAGGATTTGAAGGCGATGTGTGTGATTGACCGCGGCTTCGGCCACTCCAGAAGGGCGACTGTCAAACGCCAGCAAATGGGAGCTCATGCGAGGCGGGACCAGGCCAACAGGTTAGGCTGCACCATGTCCATGTCAAGTGGAGTTGTCTTGTTGCCATGGCTTGACATACACAGCACTCTGTCCACTTGTGTTTGCTGTAGGGCTGTGTGTGTGTGTGTGTGTATGTCCATTATTCCAGTTGCCAATAACTAAGATAAGGCTAGTTTTATACGGGATTGAACCTTAGGGATTATTTGCTCCACGTCCTCCTCACGGGTTATTTAAAATGACACAACCTCACTCCGTTCTGGCCAATCTCGCTCCTTCCCCCAAGGTTTAAAGAAAACGTTTTCCACTAAACCTCCTTGGAGAGTGAGCCAAGCGAGGTTTCCTTGGAGCTGAACTGGCTCGGAGCCGATCGACATGATTGGCAAAGGAATGTCGGAAGCGAGCCAGCCCTCTGTGGCGGTCTCGGTTGTCTGGTTCCTGAGCCAGGCGAGTCCGCAGTATTCCAGGGCAGCACAGCCAGCCTGGCTCATCAGCAGGACATAGAAAGGCAGACCAGTCACTGGGGGCAGGAAATCCTTCCACTCAGCTCCTGTTAACCCTGCAAGCCAGAGACCTAATGGGTAGGGTGATCCGAGCTGGACAAGCAGCGGTAAATCTTGCCAGACAGCGATATCAATGGCAAGCGATGCAGGATTAGCTCGTTAGACTCCAGCACACTCTGGGGTCCCCAAGCCTTGGCTCTTGCTAACCTGCGCCTAATCCTTTCTGGAATTGGAGGAGCAGGAGGCATTTCTCAAGGAGTGCGCATTCCAGTCAGACAGACTATCTCTGGAATTCCCATGTGTAAGTGGGATACATGGATTTCTAATTTTGGTTTCGATGCTCTTAAGCATGGCGGTGGGGTTCTGTGTGTGTCAGACACCCCGCTGATCAATAAAAAGGTTTTATCATGCACTAAACCTTCTGGAGCCAGTCGTAAAGGGGAACTCAGTGGATGTTATATACTTATTAGAAGATTGACAGGAAATTGAACCACAAGGTTGGAAGGCTTCACAACTTCCAAACTTGTTTTCAAGCTCGTTGGTCACTATTTTTACAGGAAAACGCAGCAGCCATTTGTACCAGTAAGGGCCCAAAATAGCCATGAGATGAATTACCAATCAATCTGGATGATTGTTGGCAAACACTGGCAATGCTGTGAGGGACATCTAATCTGTGCTGTATTTGACCGGGGAGCGCAGGATGAGATTACGTAGAGTGAGCATTACCTTTTAATTGACTCATGCTGACCTGGGAGCGTGAGACTGAGAGTTTAAGGTTATGATACTCTGAGGTCTGTGGTTTGTAAAATAAAATAATTTTTGTTACAGTGTGAACATGTTGCAATAGCAGGCGGGGCATAACCAAATGTGCCGAATCCTTCTGTGATTCTCTTAACTTGCCTATTCATTGCTTGCTGGCGTGTCCTAGATTCAGTGAACATTACAGCCTATGCAAATAATAGAAAAATAGATTATCAAAGCAACTTTGGTGATCATTATGTTCTAACCTGAATCTCTGCCACAGTTTTCAATATTTGCATGAAATGAAATGTAGGAACTGGATTTTCTGCTTGTTACTAAATCCCTTTACTGTTACCCTTTACCAGAAGGTTGTGGTCTGTAGAAGGTTATGCTTGAAGGTTTAGTTGAAGAAGGGCAGGAGAAGGCTCATATGGAGCATAAACACCGGCATAGACCAGTTGGGCCGAATGGCCTGTTTCTGTGCTGTATATTCTAATCTATTCTAGAATCTTTACTGTTGGCAAACCTGCTGCAGTGGTTTTGTCTGGACTCGACATGATCTCTTCTCCCAGCTCTGCTGGTGGCTGTTATAACAAAGGCTTTCTCTGCGTTGTCCTGGCAATTCAGTACAACTGGCACAACGGAGAGTTCTAAAATCCACAAGTCTGCATTCTCAGAAGATAGCAGTGCGCGCCAACTAAACACACACTTCAAGTCCTTCCTATTCATGTTTGAAATCTGACATGTGTAGTTCTGGTCCTTGCTCAAAAGCATGATCTAAAATTCACGCTCTGAATTTTCTATCATAGCATAACAACAGCAAATTACATTTGTACAGCGTCTTACACGTCGGGAGGATGTCCTAAGGTTAGGATCGGGGGGTGGTGTGGGGAGGTGGGGGGGGGGGGTGGAGGGCAGAGAGGGTAGGGGTAGGAGGGTGGCCGAAGATGTAATCGAAAAGGAGGGTCTTGAGATGTGCCTTGTTATTGTTGGTCATAACATTAATTTTATTTCATAGAAATTTTTACAATCTGGAAGTCGAAAGCGTTGCTATTTCTATTCAAGTCATACTACGTTCGCCTCATCTCTGCTATTCATGAACTGCCGATTCCTTGCACTGCAACATTTGATAAATTCTCAGTAAACACCAATGTCTTCTCGAGAAGAGGAGCATTAGCAATATGATTCGACCCCATTGTTGGAGTCCATCTACACATGGCATGGAGAACATTGCAATTGCTATTTGAGCTAAAGTGGCAAAGTTGGTAACATTTATGGGTCAGATACGCCTCTGTTTACTCAGCAGTAAGTAGGAACCCGGTTGTTAGTCGATTGGCAGATCGCTTTTCTGGAGCTAATAATTCCTTGAAAAATAATAATTTAATAATAACCTGAGATAGGATTACAATGCAGAAATCACTCTCTATTATCTCTGACTTACAATGAACATGGCCTCAGTATTATATGAAGTTCTTTTTCGTGTGTAATTTTCATTTGCTCTTTTCTGCAGATGATACGATGGAATCAGCTGCAGATAATAATCCTTGTATTTGCTATACTGTAGCACTTTATCACGTCAAAATGTCTCAAAGTGCTTCATAGAGTTTTTTGTAGAGATAGTGGAGTCCTGTAGCTCAGTGGTTAGAGCACTCGCCTCACAAGCGAGAGACCTGAGTTCGATTCCCGGCAGGGCGAAACCTTGGGCAAGTTTCCTTATTCCACATACCTGATAATAATCCCTCAAAAAAAGAGTAAAATTGGCCCCTTCAATCCACGATTGTTTGTGGGACGCCGCTGTGTGCAATTGGCTGCCATGTTTTCTTCACAAATGTACAGTGAATTCACTTTACAGTATATTCTGTGAAGCACTTTGAGACGACTCGAAGACATGAAAAGCGCTATTTCAAATGAAAGGATTATTTATTATATTATTGTATAGTGCCTATGTATTTGTAGGCAAATATGGCAGACAGTTTGTACACAACAAAGAACCACAGACTACCAATTTTATCTGTGAGGTGGGAGGGAGAATTGTTGGCTCGAACACGAGAAGAAATTTCCCTCTGTTTCCGAATTGTGCTATGGGATCCTTGGTATCCATCTGAACAGGTACGCAGGGCCTCAGTTTAACATCTCCTATGTACTATGAAGGATAGGACCTCCCACACTGCAATTAAAGTGTCAACTTTGACCATGAGCTCAACATCCCAATTTGGAGGTCCTGACTCAGAAGCGAGAGTACTGCCAACTGAGCCAGATGGACAACTAGATAATAAACAGCCTCATCATGATTTACACCCAAGACATTACATGGGAGTGACAATCTCAAGATCAATACTGCAGTTTGTATATGGAAAAATAAGTCATTTTTTATGTAAAAAATTTACATCCAGTGCATGTTTAAAAATAATTTATCGTGTACTCTGTGTGGGTACCTAATTTTCACCTCCATTATATATAATCTCCAAATCTACAACATTCTGTGAAGGGGGAATCAGATAAATATTTGAAAGGAAAAATAAAAGAATGCCTAGCAGAAGAGCAGGGAATTGAGATTAGATCTGAGCAGTGAGCTCCGACTAAATGGTCTCCTTTTGATTGCAATTTCTAATACTCTTTTGCTTGCCTATAAACTACATACAAACATTTCATTCTATTGCAAATGATCCTTTTGGCATCTCTGAATTTCAGACAGATAGTTCTTGGGGAACTAAATGCAGTTTTTGTTCAGGAATATTTAAGGAATGCATTCTTTACATTTCATGCTAGGTTTATTCCAAAGCTAAAACCAGCATTGAGTCAAATGTAAAAATCTTCCTCCAATGTATATGATAAGCAGTGATGTATTTAAATTATAATGGAGAGTATGAAAGGCAGAGATTAGAAAGCATTTTCCTCCCAGAGGCTATCACAATATGGAATAATTTAGCAGGGGTAGCTGGTGGAACAGTCAAATGGGGAATTTGATAAGCAGGCGTCAAGATGAGTATTAAATAGTTCAGGGAAAGAGCAGGGAATTGAGATGAGGATGGATACTTAATTGGAAGAACCCTGAGACTCATATAATGGGTCGATTGGCCTCTTACTGTAACATAGATTTAAGAATATAAAAACATATGATTTCTATGGTTTTAGGTTATCCTTTTTCTCCTTCGCAGTTTTCTTCCTCATTATTGTAATTTCATTGTTATTTATTTGCCGGAGAACAGGCGTATGAGAACAGCATCTAGGACCAACCTGAATGCCTCCTTGTTTGGTAAACCTTGGCCTGAGCTCAGCACCTGTGTTAGAATTTACACTTTTTGTATAACGATAGAATCATAATAGATGTTGCGAACGGATTAACTTTTAAGTTAAGTGTGTTGTGGGCAGCTGGACTGAAACTCCCTGCACGTACACGAGATAACGGACTGTCTCAAGGACAGTGTGTTTGTGTGTATGAGGTACGTACACCCCATGAGGTGTTCACGTGAACCCGGCACGATTTTGACCCGGTGATCTAATGTCCGCACCATGATTGGATGAACATTGGTATAAGAGTTCCGATAACTTTGTGTACGGGGCCTTCCCAGGTCGCGGAGA